TTGTCATTCTCAATGGATATAAAAACATACTTCATTTGGTTGCTGTTTGAGGTGAAGAAAACATTCATTTGAGAAGCTCCACAGCTCATTAGTGGTGGTGCATTAAGCCAATCAGAAATACTATCAGATCCTCAACATTGACAGAAGTGCTCCAAACAAATGACAATGACTAAATTTACAAAACTCGTAAATGGAATGAAATAAACCAAAACTTGTTTCTCACAAGTGTAGCATAGGTTGTGCGCTCTGCAAACGTGTCCACTCCGACAATGAAGACAGTAAAAGACTGGAGTAATAATATGTTGAACGCATTAAGACATTACCGTAACAAAACAAACAATGTAGATTAGGAATTAACGGTGAATGTACTACTGGTGATATATGTAATGGGAATTCTGGAGAGAGAAGTGCGTTGTGCAGCCACACTCCCCTTCTTGGACTGTGCCATCCCCCGCGGCCTCCGCAATGGATTAGTTGACTGAGATGGGGGCAAATAAGACCGGTGTCTCGTGTGCCATAAAAAAATATATATATACAGTACCTGTCAAAGGTTTGGACACACCTACTCATTCAGGGATTTTTCTGTATTTTTGCTATTTTCTACATTGTGGAATTATAGTGAAGACATCAAAACTATGAAATAACACATATGGAATCATGTATGGGGGAAAAAAATGTATGCACTCACTAACTGTAAGTTGCTCTGGATAAGAGTGTCTGCTAAATGACTAAAATGTAAATGTAATTAACCATGCTGTCTGTGTGATTAACAGGTTTGTCCCTCGACATGGCGATGAGCTGGAGCTAGAGGTGGATGACCCCCTGCTGATGGAGGCTCAGGCTGATGATCTATGGTGTAAGGCCTACAACATGAGGACTGGGGCCAGCGGCATCTTCCCTGCCTACTACGCTGCCAAGGTCACCCAGGAACCCAGCAAAGGTGTCAAATATGGTTTATATTGTTTGTGATGGTTTATTTAATCCATTAGACAGGCTTTGAACACAGCAAAGGTACTGCCATCAATACACTTTGGGCATCAGTGTTTGGTTATAGGATCAATATAGACGTTCTATGAAATGCATTAAATTAATTAGCCAGTGTGCAAGTCTTTTCTCTCTTGCCAACTCTTTGTCCCTTATTGTCATGCCGAACATGTTTGCCCATAGGAGTTGGCATTTTGGCAAGAGAGCACAAACTGGATAGGATCTTTAAATAGCCTGATTTGGCTCTGAATGAACCTCTACTGAATAATATGCTGACAAATAGAACTATAAGTGTGTCTTTGCCCTTGCCCTATCTCCATTAGATAACAAAGATGACTGGGTAGACAGGTTCCGAGTGAAGTTCCTGGGTTCTGTTAACGTACCCTACCACAAAGGCAACGACGTGCTTTGTGCTGCTATGCAAAAGGTACAGTATCAACCCCCCCTGGTGGTGTGTTGGGGTTTGTAATCTACACTATCATTTCACATTCCTCAATCAGAAGAACAATGCAGACAGAATGTGATTTGGCAGCCTATTGTACTTAAAGCAAAGTCTGAGAATGGATTTGCTGAGTTAAAACGTGCACATGTAAACAATCAAGCTATGCTATTGTTTTCGTCAACAGATTGCTAACAACCGACGGATGACCATGCAGCCTCCCTCTGCATGTATTCTGGAAATCAACATGAAGGGGGTGAAAATCATTGTGCAAGATGAATGTAGGACCTCGGAAAGAGTATGTCCTCTCTTATACACTAAAATGTCCTTATTCTATAACTGTGCTAATACTGATATCTTTGTTCACAATGCCTCACTGTTATTGGTTTATGCATCAGTGTTCAAGGCCCGTGTATATACACAGTTTTCATTTGGATTAGCTACATACATGTTGTGATATGGAATTTTCCAGTCCAGACCAAAGTTAATCCTATAAGTCATTTGTAGTCATACATTATTCATTCATACATTAGTCATACATTGGAAAATACAATTCTGGAGTATTTCTGTAGGTATGGAAACTACAGTATGACTACACCTTTTCAAAACAGGGTTCAAACAAGGTTCAAAACAAGGTTAAGTATGACTAGACCTTTTCAAAACAGTCTTGGGTGGAAAGCAGCAGTCATTTATCAGGGTGGACATTGCCCTCGTGAGGACTTGTGTGGGATACTATGGTCCTGTGGTCGGTGACATAACCCCTGTTGCATAATGACCACTCAGTCTTAAGACTTCTTAATCCTCCTCACTCGTGGTACCACCAGTGTGTCCCATCGGACTGGCTTACTGTATGAGTAAACTCTCAGACACAGACCATAGGGTCTGAGCCTAATATTATGTTCTGTTCTTACTGAGGTGTGGTGTGGTGTGGCCTGAGTATCAGTCTGTTTCTGCTCTCTTGACAACTCTTTATTGAATTGCCATGCCAAACATGAGCAGAAACAGACTGGAACCCAGGCTGCACTAGTATGATGCATTCACTCAGGCCCAACAGCCACTGTACCCATAGAAATAGAATTAGCACATTCTAGAAGTACTCTTTCTAATTATATGACATCACATGCTAGTGCAGGAACTCACCGTGAATATCTCTCATCTCTATGTATATTTTCACAGGGGGATAAGTGCTTTCACCTTTTTCAGCTTAAGAACATCTCCTTTTGCGGCTGTCACCCAAAGCATAACAAGTGAGTAAATGACACATACTAAACTAAGGAAGTCATTCAACTCCAAGCTTACAGACCTATAAATACAAAATCAGATTGATGGCCACCTCACCCACTGGGCAAAAACAGGCTGAATCAACTTTGTTTCCATGTCATTTCAACAACAACAAATAATGTGATGACGTTGAATCAATGTGGAAAACTGATTGGATTTGCACAGTCATCAATGTAAGGGAATTTCATATTTTTCACCCAACTTTTAACCTAGATCCAGTGACATGGTGACATTCTTTGTCGATTCCATGTTGAATTCACGTTTGTTGACAACTCAACCAAATGTAAATCAAAACTAGATGTTGAACTGACATCTGTGCCCATTGGGCAGCTTATTTAACAAAACATAAAACTACATAAATCTTAAAGAGCTGTATCTCAAGGGCAGAAAGACTAGCAAGTAGCAACTACTGTATCTGGAGCATGTTGTACCTTGTCTCTCCCATTGATACCAGGTATTTTGGATTTATCACCAAACATCCTGATCACCAGAGGTTTGCTTGCCATGTCTTTACGTCGGACGACTCCATGATGCCTCTGGCTGAGTCTGTTGGGTAAGCTCTCAAACATTTCCTCTCTGCCAATCATCTCTTCTTACTATCCAAATATGCTAATGAATATGTACAGCATACTGCTTATAACAACAAATCGTTCTATTCACAAACTACTACTGACTATTTGTACCTAACCCCCCTTTTGTTGTTCCTGCCTACAGGAAAGCCTTCCAACTGTACTACAAGGAAACAGTGGGCTACTCATGCCCAACAGAGGACATCTTCATTGAGTAGCTATCTTCTCTCTATAGTACATTTCTCCAATGTTGTGTCATGATGAAACAACTTGCATGGTGGATTACTGCATTGAATGGTAAACGCTTTTAGTAATATTGATCTGTCACACAGATCTACTTGGTGCGGCTTTCTATTCACGGTCATGTTTCCACTGCACAAACATGTCTACAGAAATACCTAAACTAAAGCATTACCAATCCTATCCAAAAGAACATACATGTATCTTCCTTAAAAAAAGGTCATTGGCCAAAAGTACACTACTGTTAAATGTAAAGGGTGTAGCCAAATGTAAGGACGGGCACTACAGTCCAGAAAATCCCAAAAGTAGTTACAGATTACAGATCTAATTCAATATCACACTCAATATCAAGATAGAATATGTTTCTATATATGTGGCTATACGAGTAATTCCAAATGATATGAGATCACTATATCAAGTCACCTGGAAACCTTGTCTTTGTACAGAGGAAGACAGAGAGGCAGTGATTTCAATCTGTCTGTATGTCCCTGGACTGTTTTTAGAATCACACTGTGTTTGATTTCAGAATCAGTTAGTATGTATGTTGGGTGGGAAAGTGTATTAATGGATTAATGGTCCCCATCACATCATAACAGGCTTTAAATGAAGTTCATCATTCTCACCTATGAGCTCTTTGTTAAAATGAACTCTGACCTGGCCTGTCATCCTATCTGCCAATACCAAAAAGGTTAATTCACTTTTATTTTTCTCTTAATGTGACCCGTGCAGCCAATGGCAATGTCCGCTTTCAGTATAATGCCAGGAGTCGCTTGTGGATTTGACAACTCTAACGTAATTCCACCTCTGACACCGCCAAAACTACTGCTATGCGGATTTCGGCCAAAGTGGATCTGATTTAATAGAGCCCTTAATCTTACTGTAACTTGGAAACAATATTTTTGCCCCAAATTGTATAAGGAAAATATTTTAATAAATATGATCTTGGAATCACTGTGGTCTTTCCACTTTAAAAGCCACCCAGAAGGCACGTGTTCGGAAATCATGTGTTAAACCCACAAGTAGTGCCTATTTTCTCATTATTGTGATTACTGTATACATTATGCATTTCCTTTTTATTTCCGATGGTTCTCCTGGCACTGTGGGACAGATGTAATACCTGTACAATATAAATATGCTGTTTGTAAATGAAATGTCCTACAGAAAGATTGATCAAACCTGGTGTGTATTGCATGATATCAATGTCAAACAAAACCATGTAGAGAAAAAACCACAGGATGTTAATTCTTGTCATTAAATGTGAAGGTGTTTACATCCTCTCTGAAATGTATGATTTGTATTTCCCTTGATGATTGCATCTCAAAACAATCCTCTAAGAGGTAGTCCCGTGTAGCTCAGTTGGTAGAGCATGGCGCTTGCAACGCCAGGGTTGTGGGTTCGATTCCCACGGGGGCCAGTATGAAGAAGAAGAAGGAAAAAAATGTACGCACTCACTAACTGTAAGTCGCTCTGGATAAGAGCATCTGCTAAATGACTCAAATGTAAAAATGTAACCTGAGGTGTAAAAATCTTCCTGACCATGCAGTAAGACATTATTGCCATGGGTGACACAGCAACAATCTTTATATTAGTTGATACAGGGTTGGTAATCATAAATTACATACAGATATATCATATCATAAATAACTACAGAAAATAATGCGTATTACTATGTAGGGAATACTGCATTATAGTTCCAACCTGTAGAAACGTTCACACTTTTCAGAAAAGGAATGCAATCATCAGACAGGTTTTCATGGTACAAAATATATAACAGTTCTACAGAAATTGGCCTAGAGAAATATGCCTAAAGTACACAGTTGTAACACAGACACTATAGTTGTAACGGAGTCACTGACAAGTTTAGTCCATCAGTGGAAGTATAAGTGTGTTAATGGGAGGCAAAGGGCCATTGGGAGGTCAGCCTCAGTCCAGGCTCAGTTCTCTGAGGAGTCTGTCTCCTCTGTGGATCCGTCACTCTCCATCTCGATCCTCTTGCGGTGGTGAAGGGACTTGCGTGGGGAGGCCTTCCTAGGGGGCTCCTTGTGTCCTGGTGCACTGCTGCTGCTGTTGGATGTAGGACTGATAGCGATCTGTGCAATGCTGTAGAGAGCATAGAGATATAGTAATATATTACAATACAATACTATTTCATCCTGTAGAGAGGAGAGGATACACAGTACTACGGAACTGACTAAGCTTCCAACCAGAGGGTGACTGAAGGTTCATAATCAAGTTGTGTCAAGGCAATGAAGGCATGCAACATGATCTATTAGCCATTTTTAACAGTGTATTAGAAACATGGGCAAATTTAGGTTTTTGATTATGGTACATTATGTGTTCCAGTTGACTTACAGTTTCTCCACCTCCTGGTCCATCTCAGGGTCAATCAGAAGCTCTAACTTGTTTGGCAGGGCACCTAGGAAGGTCAACACTCAAAATTATTAACAATAGATAAACAGGGATTAAATGAAAAGCCTGGCAGGTTTCATTTATTGTAATGCATGGCTTGTGGTTCTATTTCATTATGGGAACAGTAGTCTTTGTTATCAATAGATAACAACACAGTAGGCTAGTTCTCACCAATGTCCTGGTTGACACCCTCATGTCTGACCAGAGCCATCACAAAGCCATAGAATGTCACTCTCTGTGTTTGCTCCAGAACCTCTCTAATGGCAGATGTAGAAGGATGGCTATGGAGAAACACACAAGATCAATAAATCACTCTAACTTAAAGCTGCAATATGTAACTTTTTGGGCGACCTGACCAAATTCACATAGAAATGTGTGTTATAGATCTGTCATTCTCATTGAAAACAAGTCTAAGACGCAGTAGATCTGTTCTATGTGCACTATATCGTCTTTTACTTTTTTTGTACATCAGCGTCAAACAGCTGAAAATACAACATTTTTGGTCATGGAAAATATATTTAAAAGTGGTTTAGATGGTACAATGATTCTCTACACTATACTTGCTTGTTTTGTCACATAAACTGATATTAGGCAAACTATTAGAATTTTAGCAGGAGTTATGTACCCTAGTAGTTCAATACAACTTAATTTGTCCCCCTGGTATAATCTTCTCCCGAGTGCTGGTGTTGCCTGAGAATCATTGAATGTTTGTGTATATTGTCATTGTAGGCTAGTCACAAGATGTATTTAGATGTATTGTAATCATGGAACTATTTCTTACTTGTGTTTGAACCTTTCACAAAGCCCCTCGATGCACTCTCCAAAGACAGAAGAGTCCACTCCTTCCTGGGCCTCAGTTTCCTCTGTGGCCACCTGGGGGAGCTGTTCCACTGAGGTAGAGGTGGGGACGATCACAGTGTTGGGGCTTTTCCCTGACAGCAGGTCCTGGTAGATCACAGCAATACTCTCCAGGAACTCTGTTAGTGGAAAGTAAAATGAATACAGGATTTCATGTGACACTGTACAACCTAGAGTCTACCCAGTCAGAGGCAGAAAAGTATCTAGTGCTCTAGCATTAGAGTTTATGTGATCATCATGTCAGGTACATAGTGGTGAACCAAGTTCTCTGGTTGTTGGTTTATGCAGAGGTACTTACCTTCAAAGTAGAACTGGATTTGGAAAGAGAAGAGGAAATCCGAGAAGGACATGAGGCAGTCCATGGCATCATCCATTAGCACTATCCTATGTTGAAAGAGGATACGGTCATAGTGTATACTTCAAATGTTCACAATCATGTATTTGCATTCCATTTCACAGAGATGAAAACACACTGAACTTAATGTAACTTAAATGTAGCTAACTTAACATAATACTGTACAATATCAATCAATTATGCCAAATCAGACCTTGCTGCATGTTGTACCATCTCCACTGGAAAGTCTGGACAGAGGAGCTGCAGAAGGGAGCTGTACTCCAACATGGTCAGGAGGTCTATAGCAAGCATACAAAAGCACATAACATATATAAACACTGACAAACAACACCAGAGATATTAATTGTATTTATATAACTCAATGACACACACAGGAGGTCCTTGCAGGAAACTGAAGCTACAGTATAATTCCATAAGCATTGTGTTTTTTAATCGTAACTTTTTCACTAAATTGTTTTCACATTTTTCTAATGTTCAAAGACTGTGTTACCACATCACACACACAGACACACACTCATTAGGACCTACCTCCGTTCTTCCCGATCTGTCGGAAGCACCTCCAGAGGACACGGATGAAGGAGGCCCTGTTATGAGCTGTGGCCTTGATGTAGCCGAACTCTCTGAACAGTACATGGTTGCCGTTCTTCACACTGCTAAAGCTGTCAACCAATCACAAAGGAAGTGAAATACAACATAAGGGCCAATTATTTGGCAAAAACATAATAATAATCCATAAACAGGAGATGGCTATAAGCATTTTAATGTAAGAATGTATCGTTACCTACACTGTAGTTACAATATAACTTTGAAATAAGATGAATTGATTTGAGGAATGTGGCAGGGAAACGTATTCCACACCTCTGTTTATGATCTGCTCTGAAGAAAGACTGGTAGAATAGAATAGAAACGTACTATTCTGAAAAGTAACGGACGATGCCAAACTGGGTGTATTCCTCCTTGTGCTCCAGAAGCTGGGTCACAGCATCGTTCAGGTAGAAAAGCACGTTGGTCTCAGCTGCCAGAGGAGAGAGGGTGAGTAGCTAATGTTAGCTACACACTATTATTTAGCTTTGGGTTAACCAATATTGGTGTCCTTTTATGCAGGTGTTGCTAGCTATCAAATAACTGTAATGCAGAGCGGCATATCTCTACCTATAGGCCTAACAGCTCTGCTGTCTGGCTGCATGCATGATGGTGCAGATGCAAGCTAATATTAACTAACGTTAGCTACTCACCAAGGTACTCATCAACTGAGAGGGTAGGATTGAAACGATCAGGATTCATTTTCGTGCACATTGCAGGGTCCGTAATTATAAGGTTATATATTGATATTTCAATGTATTCACTACTTGAATTTTACAGCTGGCATTGCATTTTCATGTTACTGTGACGATCTAGCCTTGGTAGGTTTCCGGACAGGTTTCGTTTCCATGGGAAACAGTACCGGATGTTTAGGGTTTTATCAATTAAACCCCCATGGAACATCGGTATTCACTGAAAGGTTCCTAGTGTACCACCCAAACCCAAACCGAATGCAACAATCATGGGTCTATTGATGTAATGGACAATAAGTGATTGATGAACTATTGATGTAATGGACAATAATTCAAATAGCTTATTACACATGTATTAAAGCAGTCCGCATGCAATACATCAATACTTTAAGTATGTTGGCCTGAGTGGCCTCAATAGTCTAATTTTCCTAATTCAACCCCTTTATCAAAACAGTCCTTTGCCACTTCTCATATTAACATTTAAATGAAGGGCCATGTTTAGATAAAGACAACACAAAACATCTAGATAAATTTAAAAAATTAAATTGTCTTCATCTATCAACAGATCTTTATCAAACACTACTACTCCACTACTGGTTGAATCAATGGATGGACTCTCGCTCCACAGAGCCTCTCTATGGCCGTTTGTCTCTGTAGGTGCTGTAGAACCACACTCTTTTGACCCCTTCCTCAGCACCTGAGGGAGAGAGAGACAAAGGATGCACAAAAAGGCTTGCTATTTGGGATTTTAGACTGGGTTTCTGTATAAGCACTTTGTGACATCTGCTGATGTAAAAAGGGCTTTATAAATACATTGGATTTGATTTGATCTCTCTCTATTATTTTCTGTATATTATCTACATTATGAAGCATCTGTATGAGGCATCCTTACGTACTGCATCTGAGAGAGGGAGCGAAAAGGAGAGATGTTACTCAGGAGGAAAACGAGACAGGGTTTTTTGAATCATGGTACCTCGGTACTAAGCATTCAGACATGGCATCATAACACATAGTTCAAGTATTGGAGGTATAGTAAGTCATTTGAAACACAGGATGAAAAGAGGTTCGATGAGGTTCACTGAGTGACCATGAGGAGGTAAGGAAGTGCATTTCTGTCATCTTCACCTGAGTAGCAGAGGAAGTTGTGATGGTCATCGCAACGCCGCTCCACCCAGAGGAAGCCTCCCCGTTGATCATCGCTCCACAGGGGTTGGAGAAGTCCTTAGTAGCCAGGGGGTGCGACTCCCTCCCAGTGTCTGTAGTCCATGTGGCCCCCGGTCATCCAGTACCACCTGTCTGCTATAGGGCCATACAATGAAAAAACAAAAGTCGCACACTCATCTCTCATTGCTTGTGGATGATTTATTACCAACATTTCCAATAGCCTTCATCAGGGTGTGGCAAATAGGTTCTCATCACATCTGTAAATACCTGCGAAGTCCCAGCCACAGATGGGGGGTGAAGGAGGGCAGGTCGCTGCGCCGCAGCAGATCCTCCACCGCTCTCTGTTCATCCTTGCTGCGGACAATGAGCGGGTCCCCATAGTGATCCCTACAGTAGAACATAGCGTCGGACCAACACAGCTTCTTCGTCACCACTGTCACCTTCCTCCCCCTCAAGAGGACACTGTAGGAAGGAAGTGGAGGAGGGGTGGTGGGCAGGAGAGAGGGTGTGGGAGAAGATGGGGGAGTTGAAGCACTGGTTGAAGAAGAAGGAAGAGGAGTGGATGTTGGGGAAGAGAGGAGAGAAGATGGGGGAGTTGGGGGGATTTTGGAAACACTGATGGAAGGAGGTGGAAGAGGGGTGGACAGAGGAGCGGATGGGGGAGTTGAAGCACTGGTTAAAGGAGGAGAAGGAGGAGGAATGGATGTTGTGGAAGAAATTAGAGAAGATGGGGGAGTTGTTGGGGGGGGGGGTGGAAACACTGGTGGAAGGTGGAGAAGTTGACAGGTGAGAGGTTGTTTGAGAAGAGAGGAGAGAAGATAGGAGGATTTTGGAAGTACTGCTGGTGGGAGGTTGAGTGGAGGGCACAGAGATGGGTGTGTCTGAAAGAGTGAGAGAGATTACAATGTTTCACTCTTGACACGGGTACACTCACTGACAGCATGCAGGGAATCGATACCAACAATTTTTCCTTTACTTTATTACATTTATTTGACAGGGACGATGCAGATCTCTGTAAATGTGCCAGATGTAGTCAAAAAGTTAATTTCCTATCTAAAAAAGATTGTAACGATCAATATACAATACAGGAAGAGTTCAACTGTCTGATAAAGATTAACAGTGAAGACAGTCATAGGGTATTACCTGCAGGAGTGGTATATACCTACCTCCACCTCACATAGCATGAATAGCTTGTCCTTTCCAGGAATTACCACAATGACGTAGTGACCCTCCATCTTATTACACTGGACATTTTTGGTCTTTCCTGGTCGGATTTGGGAGATGATAGCACATCTGGGAAAGAAAGAAAGAAAGAAAGAAAGAAAGAAAGAAAGAAAGAAAGAAAGAAAGAAAGAAAGAAAGAAAGAAAGAAAGAAAGAAAGAAAGAAAGAGAGAGATGCAGATACCCAGCATTTGCATATATGACAGAGAGATCTCAAAGCTCTTTATAAAGTGTTTCTATGGACGGGAGTGTGTCTAGGATATGGTGTCAGCTGGTGTTCTTGGTACTGTTGCTCTCCAGTGAGTTACCAATGCGGATCTCAGCACAACCAAGATCGTCAGGGTTGGCATCACTGTTGGTGATCCAGACATAGGTCACTCTGTACACATCCAGCAGGTCCAATCTCCATCAGGGGTTGGTTTGCCATGAAGTGTCGCTACAGGATCCTGCTTGATAGTCTTGGTTATTGTCCCCACCAATGGCATGAGCAGGTTCACCCTGACTATTGTACAGAGAGGACTGGGTGGCCACTCTTCTCAACGCCACGTTCTCTATAAAATATAAAATCAAAGAATGTAAAATACAGTAAATCTGGTAGATTAGCCAAAAAGGAGTGGGACTTTGGAAAATGTAGGGCACTCAGTTATTTGAATGCCTGCATAACCGAGGGGGTGTTTATGACGTTGGCTCATCATCAACTTAATTTTTAAAAATCCAGCAACTACTATGTCTCTAGGCCTACTGTTTTACAGAGGAAAGTAGAAATTGTATTATGTGTCTTGGCACTGTGAATGAGGAGAAGGAAGGATTAAAAATTATAGAATGGTTCATTAATGGTTATTAATAATACAATTATATTATAGTACATTACACAATCACACAATATAATATAATTATACAATGTTTACAGCAGTAGGACATGGTTATATTGTCCACACAACATGGTCAAAGTGTAGGAGAGGGAAAAAAATTCAAGATATGGGTAGAATCACTGTATGTAAAATAAATAATTGCAAAACCTACCAAGCAAGTTGAATTGGCTCCACCCCATGTTTCTAAGGTAGACAGAGGAGATTTTGAATACATTTGTTGTGCTTTGTTAAAATTCATCCTACTTTAACCAACTCTACATGTCAAATACACTCACCTTTTTGGTCAAGAGTCTCAAAAATAAAAACAGTATTCTGTGGCATCAATATGTTACTTACCAGGAATATCTACTACTTCTCTGTCTCTTCAGGGCACCTGACTCTTTCTCTCCTTGACCCCAATGTGTCTGTCGTGTTATACCTTATGGATATGATGTTTCCACTTTTGCATCTACTGTGTTTGATTCCCGTTGTTCTGACCACATGCAAAATGTATTTGTCTTGATTTCTTTACACATAATAGGATGACCTCACCAATGGAGGTTGTTGTATTAGTTCAAAGAAATCAGACAAATACATTTTGCATGAACCATACGATTTTTATGTCTCTGCGTTCAGTTTGAAGGAAGTCGCTAACTAGCGTTACCGCAATCGCTAACTAGGGTTAGCGCAATAACTAGAAGTCTATGGTAACTGCTAGCATGCATTTCCAAAATCCTGAAGTATCCCTTTAACACAAATAGAATAAATAGTGTAGGCCATTTTGACTGGCAATGACCTAGGGTGACTGCTGGAAGTGGTGCCTATATCGTAAAAATGTATGAAAACAAAAATGTGCATTTTGCTCTTAATTTAAGGTTTGGGCATATGGTTATCAGTGTAGTTAAGGTTAGGTTTAGGTTTAAAATCAGATTTTAAAGAAGATAAATTGTAGAAAAAGGCGGGGTTTAGCCATTTGTGGTTGTGGTACGACCCTCTCTGTGGAGCGTGGCCCCTCCCTCTGGTTCACCGCCCTTGGAGGCGGATTCAAAGCTTGGACTGGAGAGAGTAATGGTCGAATATTGGCTCCATCTAAATAGCTAACATTATTTTGCATACCAGAAAGACCCCAGGTAATTAAAAAAGCCTGTATTCATTGTTCTGCTTCTGAGCTAGCTACTGAAAGGAGAGCCCGCGCTTTGATGTTCACTCAGACAGACCTAATTAATTTAGCTCACTGCTGCGTTTTCTGGGCCTGGCTGTGGTGGTGCAGATGAAATAGCTTTTCTTTGACTGTCAGGCAGACAAGTCTTATTTTGTACATATGCCAGCTTAATGCAATGTCATACCTTTTATTTTGCTTCACATTACACTGGTTGGTGAGAAAGTATCGTTGTACATAGTCAACATGGTTGTTGGGTTTTGGTCGTGTTGACAGGTCCAGCTAGCAAAGTTACTAGCTACTGTTGCTAGCCACGTTAGCTTGACGTTGTCAGCTGACGTATGCAACAACAGCTTTTAGCTTAACATAGCAAGCTAACTAGCTAACTGTGCATTGATGTTTAAGGTACATTTGTATCGTTATTTGATTCCATCTAAATCTAGTTTTCTAACTAAAAGCTTTTTCCTAATTAGCGCGCTAACTAACGTTAGTTGCGATCAAAGCTCTGCCAGCAATGTTGATCATGTTATTGTAGCTAGCAAGCTAACGTTAGCTAATCTGTCACACGATGTTTGGCATTACTTTGCTAGCTAGCTGGCTAGCAAACGTTCATTTAGTTCAAATCAATATGTGCTAGTGTCGCAGTTGGATAGCTAATGTAGCTAGCTAGTTAATTCTGGCCAGCCAAAATATTGAACTCTTCCCAGCCAGTCAGACATACGTTTCAAGTTGTATTAGTCGTAAGGACACAGATTCTTACTTGCAGGTTCCTTCTCGACAATGCAACAACAATAAGATATAATAAAATAAGAATACGAACATAAAGTAAATGGCAGTAGAATAGATTAATACAGGAAGGCACAATATTTAGCTAACGTTCGACATGTATCAGGGGAAGGGAGGGAATTTGGGGCCAAGTATTGAAATTGTGCAGACGTGTGCTAAGGTGCGGAGAGTCAGTGTAGGTGGTCAGTCCAGCTCAAGGGTACAGCATGTAGATAGAAACTGTCTCTGAGGCTGTTGGTATCAGACCTCATGCTCAGATACGTCTGCCAGACGGTAAGGGAGTGAACAGCTCATGGCTGGGGTGTGGGGTCCTTGATGATGCTGTAGGACTTCCTCAGGCATCGTTTCAAGTAGATGTCCAGGATGGATGGGAACACAGCCCCAGTAATGTACCTGATGGGTCAATATGAAATCTGACCGGCAGCCTCTCATCTGAAAATGCGTTAGGAGAGAATCACATGCTTGTCCTTTCAAATAGAGCTGTAGCACCACTTTTAACCGCTTAACTAGCTGCCTCTATTGTAATGGCTAGTTATGTTTTGTCTTCAGATCTCCACTCAGACAGTGCATTAGACAAGCTAATTGTTTAACTTAATTATGTCAGCACACTTCACACCCAAATGTTGTTGGTGCATGCCAGAGTATCTCATACTGATGTTTTTGTGATGCCATGTTGTTTTCTAAACTTCTCAATCTCCTGATGCATGCATAGTATGTTATGTGTCATGAATGAAAGGAAGAGAATTACACATTTCACTCCATCAGAAATGTACAGTGCCTTCATAAAGTATTCACACCCCTTGACTTTTTCCACATTTTGTTGTTACAGCCTGAATTTAAAATGAATTAAAACTGAGATTTTGTCACTGGCCTACACACAATAGCACATCATGTCAAAGTGGAATTATGTTTTTAGACATTTTTACAAATTAATTAAAGATGAAAAGCTGAAATGTCTTGAGTCAATAAGTATTCAACCCCTTTGTTATGGCAAGCCTAAATAAGTTCAGGAGTAAAAATGTGCTTAACAAATCACAAATGTTGCAATGACTCACTCAGTGTGCAATAATATTTGAATTGAGGCTGTAACAACAAAATGTGGATTAAGTCAAAAAGTATGACTGCTTTCTGAAGGCATTGTATGTTATGACTACTATTGACATACCAGCACTCATTACAACTGGATGTTCTGAGAATGGATTGCAAAACTGGTAACTCCCACTTTGTTTTGATATTGTTGTTACAGTTGAATTTGTAAGGCAAACACAGAGGTCATCATGGGTGATGACAGTGAGTGGATGAAGTTGCCCATCGACCAGAAGTGCGAACACAAGGTGATTACCCGTCACACACACGCACTTAAGACAGACTTTCCTCACAGTGTTGAATCCTTGCTGGATGTGTTTCAGCAGCTGTGGTTTTGTTTCATAAAATATTATCCAATAGCACACCCTGAGCTCGCATTGTAAGCCAGTGTTTTCCATTAGTAACGGCCGTCGGCTAATCAGCCGGTTACGGACTCATTTTCAGCCAGTTACTTTTTCCACGTCATATTAACTAGGCTACTTTTCATTTAAACGTTTTAATTCGCTAGTCCGTCGAACCCTCTCCCGCTAGAATGAATGATATACCGTTTCTAGTGATCTATTGATAGGATAGACGCCTGTTAGTCAAAGCGAGCGACGACAGGAAACGCTCTGTCCCGCCTCCCGGTATAATTTGTGTGTGCTGTGGTTGGTTGCAGTTGAATTTCTTTACATGGAGGAGGGAGAGAATTTGTACATCCCATGTAATGTAAGTCGTAACGATGTATGCACTAACTGTAAGTCGCTCTGGATAACAGCGTCTGCTAAATGACTAAAATGTAAATGAAATCCACTTAGCCTAATTATTATTTTCTGCGACATTAATGTATTTTCTTTCGCGTGTTTCACGTAGCCAGCCACGCGGAGTCGTGGCGCATAGGCTATTTACTGTGCTTTATTTGACAACTGGAAAGGAAGTGTTGACTGATAAAAGGTGTTGAACTGACTAAATAAAGTAGATCTCCTACACTACCAGTCAACGGTTTGGACACACCTACTCATTCAAGGGTTTTTCTTTATTTTTACTATTTTTTACATTGTGGAATAATAGTGTAACTATGAAATAACACATATGGAATCATTTAGTAAGCAAAAAAAGTGTTAAACAAAGCAAAATATATTTCGGATTTTTCAAACCTCTGCTGCAGAGGATAAGTTCATTAGAGTTACCAGCCTCAGAAATTGCAGCCCAAATAAGTGCTTCACAGAGTTCAAGTAACCGACACATCTCAACACCAACTGTTCAGAGGAGTGTGTGAATCAGGCCTTCATGGTCGAATTGCTGCAAAGAAACCACTACTAAAGGACACCAATAATAAGAAGAGACTTGTTTGGGCCAAGAAACACGAGCAATGGACATAAGACCGGTGGAAATCTGTCCTTTGCTCTGGAGTCCAAATTTGAGATTTTTGGTTCCAACCTCTGTGTCTTTGTGAGACGCAGTGTAGGTGAATGGATGATCTCCGCATGTGTAGTTCCCACCATGAAGCATGAAGGAGGAGGTGTGATGGTGTGGGGGTGGTTTGCTGGTGACACTGTCTGTGATTTGTTTAGAATTCAAGTCACACTTAACCAGCATGGCTACCACAGCATTCTGCAGTGATACGCCATCCCATCTGGTTTGGGCTTAGTGGGACAATCATCTGTTTTCAACAGGACAATGACCCAACACACCTCCAGGCTGTGTATTGCTATTTGACCAAGAAGGAGAGTGATGGAGTGCTGCATCTGATGACCTGGTCTCCACAATCCCCCGACCTCAACCCAAGTGAGATAGTTTGGGTTGAGTCGGACCGCAGAGTGAAGGAAAAGCAGCCAACAAGTGCTCAGCAAATGTGGGAACTCCTTCAAGACTGTTGGAAAAGCATTCCAAGTGAAGCTGGTTGAGATAATGCCAAGAGTGTGCAAAGCTGTCATCAAGGCAAAGGTTGGCTACTTTGAAGAATCTGTTTAACACTTTTTTGGTTACAACATGATTCCATATGTGTTATTTCATAGTTTTGATGTCTTCACTATTATCCTACAATATAGAAAATAGTTAAAATAAAGAAAAACCCTTGAATGAGTAGGTGTGTCCAAACTTTTGACTGTTACTGTATATAGAACAAAAATATAAACGCAACAATTTCAATGATTTTACTGAGTTACTGTTCATATAAGGAAATCAGAAGCCGGATGTGGAGGTCCTGGGCTGGCGTGGTTACACGTGGTCTGCGGTTGTAGGACCGGTTGGACGTAGTGCCAAATTCTCTAAAACGAAGATGGAGGCGGCTTATGGTAGAGAAATGAACATTCAATTCTCTGGCAACAGCTCTGGTGGACATTCCTGCAGCCAGCATGCCAATTGCATGCTCCCTCAACTTGAGACATATGTGGCATTGTGTTGTGTGACAACTGCACATCTTAGTGGCCTTTTTATAGTCCTCAGCACAAGGTGCACCTGTGTAATGATCATGCTGTTTAATTAGCTTCTTGATATGCCACACCTGTCAGGTGGATGGGATTATTTTAGCAATGGAGAAATGCTCACTAACAGGGATGTAAACAAATTGAGAGAAATACGATTTTTGTGCGTATGAGACATAGGACCAACACTTTACATGTTGCGTTTTATATTTTGTGTTCAGTATAATACTTAAGACTGACATAACCCTTTTTATTTTTTCCATTTAACCTTTAATTTCTCTGTTCTAATAAAATACATAATTTGAAAAACAAACGTTGTGGCAATGCATATCTTGCAGTAAAACTGTAAATACGATTTTAATCTCGGAGACAGGTTAAAGGTTTAATATTCTCATACTTAGAAAATAGCCCTGATCATAAACGCCTAGACCTAGACAATATTCAAAACAACTAACAATACACTGAATTCATACATTTTCAGTAATTTTAAATTGTCATGTATTTCTACACAATACCACAGCACATTTTTCCAATCTGGGAAGTAAACTCGATAAAGTAGCCTATTCAATAATTTCGCAATGTATTTCGGATGGAATCAAGGCATTATAATCTACCAGAGGCCACCAAAATGTAGCTCCTGCAAATAATGTTGAACCCAGAGGGGAAGCCCCAACCCCCCACCCCCTCCTCCCCGGGGGTGCCTGGCTGGCTACTTTTTTTATTTGGTGGCTACTCTATGTACTTGTGAAAAACACTGGTGAGCTCATTTCCCCCACAAAAACTGCTAATTTAGACTAGATTTCCAGCAGCAAAGAGCTAGACTGAAGACTGCTAAATGGCTCTTCCAAAAGGATAGCCTAACATGCATTGAAGCTTATGATTTTACAGTTTCCAATCCAATCACTGTCTTCAGTCTCTCTCAAATAATTTACACTCACTGACTGCGTCAATCACAATGGAGGATATGCTAGGCCAAATAACTGCCCTCTGTACGTAACATCAAAAGAAAGCCCATTTTAAATTAGTTTCTTTACTTTGGCTGTACAACTAGAATCTGGGTCACATCAAATCCCTTAGTTATGAACTCTAATTTACCTTGACTCCCTCTCATCACAAGGCTCACTGTTCTCCTGCTTCATCCCAACCAAGGTATGGAAAGCCAGACTAAATGGCTATGAAGAAGCCCTGAAGCTCTTCCAGAGGATAGAGGACGAGAAGAGCCCAGAATGGGGCAAATACCTGGGCCTGCTTAAGAAATTTGTGACCGACTCAAACGCCGTGGCCCAGCTGAAGGGCCTTGAGGCAGCATTTACCTACATTGAGAAGGCTCATGTGGCTGGCAAGTAAGTACTAGACCTACATCTCATCTGACTACACAAATGGAACTTTGTAAATACAAGAAGATGTAATAGTAACTCATTGCCTAGATTGTCAGGCTACTTGAATAGTTGAACAGTAGTAATGAAAAGGCCTAACTCATAGCCTTGGTCTTCAGGTTAGGTGAATGCATACAATTATAATACAAGAGACTCATTGTAATTATATGGGTGAATATATCTAAATCTCCCAATTAAAGCTTTGTCTGTTTTAAGTACTGATCTCTGTGTGAAACTGGGCTTGTTGTGGAAAGCTCCAGTGAGCTCTAACGCAGTCAGGATAAATTTTAAGCCTGCCTGATATTTATTTATGGAGAGAGCCTGTCTGACATGAGATCCGTCCGTATATTGTGTGCAGCCTATCGGGCAAGGATTACACTATTGAATGATTCTAGGAAGGACTAGTAGGGACTTAGAATGCACGGTAGTGAATGAGAGAACAGAGGCCATAGGACATAGAAGGTGAGTCAAAAGGAACACTAATTCACAAGGGCTACATCGCAAGCATAACATACAACTGTTTATTATGGATTCTCATGACAATTAAGTCGGCATACGCTACGCAGTGTACATGAATTGACACTCTACTCTCGCACGTAAAATGTGACGCCGTTGACGGCATCTCTCTGTGTGGTTTTGGCTTAAGTGTTTTGCTTGTGTTCCAGAACATCAGGAGAGGTGGTGTCGGGCGTGGTCAGTAAAGTGTTCAACCAGCCTAAAGCCAGGGCCAAAGAGCTGGGCTCAGACATCTGCCTCATGTACATAGAGATCGAGAGGGCTGAGGTGGTTCAGGACGAGCTCATCAAAGGCCTCGATAACAAAAACCCCAAGATTGTTGTCACCTGTATTGAAACTTTAAGGAAGGCACTTAGGTGAGTTTTTCTACTTCATAGTTTTGCTAAAGATTTCTCCAACCAATTAATTCAGGCGCTTTTTTTTTTTTACCATAGCTATTATGTCATTACATAGGCCTAAATCCTGAAATGTAATTATTTATTTATTTTTTCAGTGAGTTTGGGTCCAAAATTATTACTCTGAAGCCAGTGGTGAAAGTTTTGCCCAAACAGTTTGAGTCGAGAGAAAAGGCGGTTCGAGACGAGGCCAAACTACTAGCAGTAGAGATTTATAAATGGATCCGGGATGCGCTTCGACCTCCTCTCCAGGGCATCAACTCTGTTCAGGTGAGATAAGGCTTCTGAACACTTTGTTACAGAGGCTCTTTCTCAATTCATCTTTCTTCGATTTCTCACATCTTCGCTTCCTTCTCAAAACACATAGGAGAAGAAGGTCTGAGGAGAGGGACTTTGGACCTTCTCCAATAATAGGATTGAAGCATGGAATCGCAGAAAGACCAATTGAGATGCAGCCAGAGTTTGTTTTTGCTCATATGCAATATGGGTCTCCATAAATTCCGGAACAACTGATTCATGGGATGTCTAACAGCTGGGTTTCCTCTTCTTTTTTCCACAGTTGAAGGAGCTGGAGGAAGAGTGGGTGAAGCTGCCGACGACAGCCCCCAAACAGAGCCGCTTCCTCCGCTCACAGCAGGCCCTCAAGGCCAAGTTTGAACAGCAGCAGGCAGCTGGAGGAGACGAGGCAGATGGTATACTTTATCAGACAGCCTAGTTTTGATGTCCACATTTAAGCCACTTTACGCCTTTTTCCTAGCCTGGATGGCAGTCTGTTTGTGCTATCTTATGGAACTCCTTATGGAATTGTTGTCAAGATGGCACAAACAGATCTGTGACTAGGCTTCTCTCATCAATGGCTTTTGAGAGAGAATTTGTGCAACGCTTTATATCTTTGTGGAAGATAACTGTAAATGCCCAGGTGTTGTTGAAAGACAAGAAGATTGACGTATGTAAATGTTGCATGGTAGTCTTGATGATTGAGACTGGTCTTGTGAAAAGCCTTTGCGCTGAAATGTCGACATCAAACAGTCTCAAATATATAGTCTCGTCTTGTTTTTTTTTCTATAATCGTATTGTGGATAATGAGATGGGTAGGCCGGCTTACATTATCAGATTGAAGGTCTCACACTAAACTCTCTTTCAGGAGATGATGATGATGACGAACCTGCACCTCAGGTAGACCCCTATGAGCTGCTGGAAGCAGTGGAGATCCTCTCAAAACTACCTAAAGACTTCTATGACAAAATTGTACGTTTGGGCTCCAGGGAAATGACCCTTAAATTCAAAAGGCCTTAAGTACATCTATTGAATTAATATATGCTAAACATACACTACCGGTCAAAAGTTTTAGAACACCTACTCATTCAAGGGTTTTTCTTTATTTTTACTATTTTCTACATTGTAGAATAATAGTGAAGACATCAAAACTATGAAATAACACATATGGAGTCATATAGTAACCAAAAAAGTGTTAAATCAAAATATATTTTATATTTGAGATTCTTCAAATAGCCACCCTTTGCCTTAATGACAGCTTTGCACACGCTTGGCATTCTCTCAACCAGCTTAACCTGGAATGCTTTTCCAACAGTCTTGAAGGAGTTCCCACATATGCTGAGCACTTGTTGGCTGCTTTTCCTTCACTCTGCGGTCCAACTCATCCCAAACCATCTCAATTGGGTTGAGGGCGGGGGATTGTGGAGGCCAGGTCATCTGATGCAGCACTCCGTCACTCTCTTTCTTGATAAAATAACCCTTACACAGCCTGGAGGTGTGTTGGGTCACTGTCCTGTTGAAAATCAAATGATAGTCCCACTAAGCCCAAACCAGATGGGATGGCATATTGCTGCGGAATGCTGTGGTAGCCATGCTGGTTAAGTGTGCCTTGAATTCTAAATAAATCACAGACAGTGTCATCATTCTTTACGGTGGGAAATACACATGCAGAGATCATCCGTTCACCCACACCGCGTCTCACAAAGACACGGCGGTTGGAACCAAAAATCTCAAATTTGGACTCATCAGACTAAAGGACAGATTTCCACCGGTCTAATGTCCATTGCTCGTGTTTCTTGGCCCAAGCAAGTCTCTTCTTCTTATTGGTGTCCTTTAGTAGTGGTTTCTTTGCAGCAATTCGACCATGAAAGCCTGATTCACACAGTCTCCTCGGAACAGTTGATGTTGAAATGTGTCTTTTACTTGAACTCTGTGAAGCATTTGGGCTGCAATTTCTGAGGCTGGTAACTCTAATGAACTTATCCTCTGCATCAGAGGTAACTCTGGGTCTTCCATTCCGGTGGCGGTCCTCATGAGAGCCAGTTTCATCATAGCGCTTGATGGTTTTTGCGACTGCACTTGAAGAAACTTTAAAGTTCTTGACATTTTCCGTATTGACTGACCTTCATGTCTTAAAGTAATGATGGACTGTTGTTTCTCTTTGCTTATTTGAGCAATAATATGGACTTGGTCTTTTACCAAATAGGGCTATCTTCTGTATATCCCCCTACCTTGTCACAACACAATTGATTGGCATTAAATTAACTTTTAACAAGGCACACCTGTTAATTGAAATGCATTCCAGGTGACTACCTCATGAAGCTGGTTGTGAGAATGCCAAGAGTGCAAGGCTAAGGGTGGCTATTTGAAGAATCTCAAATATAAAATATATTTTGATTTGTTTAACACTTTTTTTTGGTTACTACATGATTCCATATGTGTTATTTCATAGTGTTGATGTCTTCACTATTATTCTACAATGTAGAAAATAGTAAAAAATAAAGAAAAACCCTTGAATGAGTAGGTGTTCTAAAACCTTTGACCGGTAGTGTATGTCATATTTTTTATATTAGGAGTTTGAAAGCAAAAGTTAGGCAATTATGTGTTTCTTGTATTGAGTTGGATCAATGTAATAAGACATAAACCATCTCTCATTATATCTGACCTTAGGAGGCCAAAAAATGGCAGGAGAGGAAAGAGGCCTTGGAAGCAGTGGAGACCTTGGCTAAAAACCCTAAATTGGAGAATGGCGACTTTGGTGACTTAGTCAGAGCACTAAAAAAGGTACTGTAACATCTGTGTTTCACAGGGACGCCACTAATTGGGATACCGGGTAATGGAATGTATCTCCAGGAAGTAGGACAATGATAAACCTCCTGAAAATAATAATTTGTTTCCCAGGTTATTGGTAAAGATGCAAATGTTATGCTGGTGACCCTGGCAGCCAAATGTGTGGCTGGACTAGCAGCTGGGCTCCGGAAGAAGTTTGGAACATATGCAGGACATGTAAGTTACCTTCAAGGCAGTGGTATAGAATTGTGTTTACAACAGTTATGCTAGCCAAGAGCAGTGAATGTGGGAGCTGATGCATGAACAAGCTGAGTGCGGTTACATTGGTAACGGTGGGGAGCAGTGGCAACATGTATTTGTACATCCCTGATTTTGTACATAATGTGAAAACTGTGCTTTATATTATGCTCTGTGTTTCAAGGTGGTGCCAACGATTTTAGAAAAGTTTAAAGAGAAGAAACCACAAGTGGTCCAGGCCTTGCAAGAGGCTATTGATGCAATCTTCCTTACTGTGAGTAAACTGTACTATGTGGATTCACTGGTCATAGTTTGGGCTTTGTTGCTATGTGATTCATATCAAGCTGATTTTGTAAGATCTGGAATGTTGGGACTGTTCTTGTTTTGAGAGATTATCTTCTGTTTGATTTGGTCAAGAGACTCATTCCAGGCTGCTTCTATTTTATTTTCTGTGCCTAACATAATGTTTTCCATGTCTTCTTATTGTTTTGCAGACAACTCTCCAGAATATCAGTGAGGATGTGTTGGGTGTGATGGACAACAAGAACCCTTCCATCAAACAGCAGGCCTCTCTGTTCCTGGCCAGAAGCTTCCGCCACTGCACCCAAGCCACGTTGCCAAAGAGCATGCTCAAAGCTTTCTGCCCTGCATTTCTCAAGGTACCGAAAACATTTCAGATTCATAAACAGGCAAATTCATGGCTGGTTTCCCAGACACAGATTACGTGTAGTCCTGGACTAAAAAGCATGCTTAGTCAAGAATCTGGATTGAAAGTGCTTTTTAGTCCAAGACTTAATCTGTGTCTGGGAAAACATCCCTCTGTGGTCACAAATGATGTTCTGTCCTCCAATTTGTGAACGTGTGGGGAATAATGCTCCTACTCCCCATCTCTTGATGAACCCTCTCAGCAAGTGAATGATTCGGCCCCAGAGGTGAGAGATGCTGCGTATGAAGCTTTGGGGACAGCCATGAAGGTGGTGGGGGAGAAGGCTGTCAACCCATTCCTGGCTGATCTGGACAAACTCAAGCTTGACAAGGTGAGGATTGCTATGTAGAATATGTATCAGTATATCTATCGTTATTGATATCATTAATAACAGTGTGTGAGTCTATCGTCAATATACAGTATGTCCTTATCGTTGTTATCAGTCTATCTATTACTATCTTGTGTGCCGTGTTATCTTGTGTATCCTGTGTAAAACTAGTTCACTAAAAGTGAACTAATGCCAATGTAGATTAGTTATTTATTGGATATACGGTTGTATTATTATGAGATAGTATCCTTAAAGTTGACCCGTTTTTGAAGAGTAGACAACAAATGAAATTACCTGACCTCCATCCATCTCTAAATGAACAGATTAAAGAAAGTGCTGATAAGGTGGAACTGCCTGGAAAGAAAGGAGGAGGTGGTGGAGGGGCGGAGAAGAAGGCACCTGCTGCAAAGGCAGCACCGCCTGCTGAGGCTCCAGCTAGATCCTCTGCACCGCCCAAGAAGGCCCCAGCAGCTAAGGTTTGATTGATTGATTTGACAATTAAAATGCATATAAAGCCACTTTAGCCTGAGACAAGGTGAACCCCAGGCTGCCAGTCTTATTCACCAGGCTCGCTACACTGTCCCCGATGAGACAGTAACCATAGTAGGTATCTGTAAAGAAACTACTAAAAAATGAATTTTTGTGTTCATTATTTTGCAGTTTGGTGGACCTCCTAAGAAAGGTAAACCTGCCTCCGCTCCGAGTGCGAAAGGAAAGAAATGTTCTGAAACAAAGGAATTCATAGAGACCGAGCTATCGGTAAGTCAACTGTTTTAAGAGGACTGCTATGTGCAGCCTTTTAACCGTAGGAATACTCATTATTTAGTAGTCTGGTTGAATGAGCGGACCATTTTTTCGGTGGTTAACTCTTTCATTACCGGTAACTTGAGTGTTTGACCTTGTTTGTGTCCACTAGATTGAGGTGTGTGAGGAGAAGTCCGCCGCGGTGCTCCCTGCCTCCTGCATGCAGCTGCTGGACTCTGCTAACTGGAAGGAGAGACTGGCCAGCATGGAGGAGTTTCAGAAGGTAACTCGTTTTGACTGTATAATCTGACCTCTTTAGTATTGTCTTACTCATATCTCATCAAATGTTATACATTTGTGTTCTATTTAATTATGTGGTCTTGCTCATATTATGAACCTGCTCTTTACAACAATGTGTAAATAGATAAATTAGTGGAGTTAGGTACTTTTCTGTTATATTCTTATCATGTGATTGTCACCAGGCTGTGGAGCAGATGGACAAGAGTGAGATGCCCTGCCAGGCTCTGGTTAGGATGCTGGCCAAGAAACCAGGCTGGAAAGAGACTAACTTCCAGGTACAGCATACCCAAGTTTAAACACTTACCACAGCGAGCTAAAATGGATACATACAGTGCATTCGGAAAGTATTCAGATCCCTTGACTTTTTTGTTATGTTACAGCCTTATTCTAAAATTGATTACATCAATCTACACACAATACCCCATAATGATTAAGCAAAAACAGGTTTTTAGAAATGTTTGCTAATTTATTACAGATAAAAACACCTTATTTACATAAGTATTCAGACCCTTTGCTATGAGACTCGAAATTGAGCTCAGGTGCATCCTGTTTCCATTGATCATCCTTGAGATGTTTCTACAACTTGATTGGAGTCCACCTGTGGTAAATTCAATTGATTGGACATGATTTGTAAAGGCACACACTTGTCTATATTAGGTCCATGTCAGAGCAAAAACCAAGCCATGAGGTCGAAGGAATTGTCCGTAGAGCTCCGAGACAGGATTGTGTCGAGGCACAGATCTGGGGAAGGGTACCAAAAAATGTCTGCAGCATTAATAATAATATGCCATTTAGCAGACACTTTTATCCAAAGCGACTTACAGTCATGCGTGCATACATTTTTTGTGTATGGGTGGTCCCGGGGATCGAACCCACTACCTTGGTGTTACAAGCGCCGTGCTCTACCAGCTGAGCTACCGAGGAATTGAAGGCATTGAAGGTCCCCAAGAACACAGTGGCCTCCATCATTCTTAAATGGAAGAAGTTTGGAACCACCAAGACTCTTCCTAGAGCTGGCCGCCCGGCCAAACTGAACAATCGGGGGAGAAGGGCCTTGGTCAGGAGGTGACCAAGAACCTGATGGTCACTCTGACAGAGCTCCAGAGTTCCTCTGTGGAGATGGGAGAACCTTCTAGAAGGACAACCATCTCTGTAGCACTCCACCAATCAGGCCTTTATGGTAGAGTGGCCAGACAGAAGCCACTCCTCAGTAAAAGGCACATGATAGCCCGCTTGGAGTTTGCCAAAAGGCACCTAAAGACTCTCAGACAATGAGAAACAAGATTCTCTGGTCTGATGAAACCAAGATTGAACTCTTTGGCCTGAATGCCAAGCGTCACGTCTGGAGGAAACCTCGCACCATCCCTACGGTGAAGCATGGTGGTGGCGGTATCATGCTGTGGGGAGGTTTTTCAGCAGCAGGGACTGGGAGTCAGGATCGAGGGAAAGATGAACGGAGCAAAGTACAGAGAGATCCTTGATGAAGACCTGCTCCAGAGCGCTCAGGACCTCAGACTGGGGCGAAGGTTCACCTTCCAACAGGACAACGACCCTAAGCACACAGCCAAGACAACGCAGGAGTGGCTTCAGGACAAGTCTCTGAATGTCCTTGAGTGGCCCAGCCAGAGTCTGTACTTGAAACTGATCTAACATTTCTGGAGAGACCTGAAAATAGCTGTGCAGCAGCGCTCCCCATCCAACCTGACAGAGCTTGAGAGGATCTGCAGAGAAGAATGGGAGAAACTCCCCAAATACAGGCGTGCCAAGCTTGTAGCGTCATACCCAAGAAGACTTGAGGCTGTAATCGCTTCCAAAGGTGCTTCAACAAAGTACTGAGTAAAGGGTCTGAATACTTATGTAAATGTGATAATTGAGTTTTTTTATTTTTATAAATTTGCAAAAATCTATACAAACCTGTTTTTGCTTTGTCATTATGGGGTATTGTGTGTAGATTGATGAGGGGGAAAATAACAATTTAATCAATTTTAAAATAAGGCTGTAACGTAACAAAATGTGGAAAAAGTCAAGGGGTCTGAATACTTTACGAATGCACTGTAGATACAAATGTTGGTGAAAATGTTGTGATTGTATCACCTAAGGTTTGTTTTTTAACGGATAGTCCTATGTATTGGACCTTGTATTTGTCCAGCTCCTGTCATTATTGTGGATGTATAAAACTCCATTCACTAGATGGACCCACATTTCTCTGTCGTCATAACTGACTTTTGGTTCTTGGGTTTGTTCATGATTCAGGTGATGCAGATGAAGCTTCACATTGTGGGTCTGATAGCCCAGAAGGGATCCTTCTCCAAGACGTCAGCCTTCGTGGTGTTGGATGGCCTGGTGGATAAAATAGGAGATGTGAAATGTGGGGGCAAAGCCAAGGAGGGCCTGACTGCTACCGCTGAGGCCTGCTCCCTGCCCTGGACAGCTGAACAGGTCTGTTGTTGGTGGTGTTGCCTTTCAGAACGGCGGTTCTGCTATTCAGTTTTTTTTCCCTTTTCACATCTTTGAATTAAAAAAAGAACACAAGTAAGAAATATCAGTTGTTCACTAGTGTGCTTCATCCCTCAGGTGGTCTCCATGGTTTTTGCACAGAAGAATCCTAAAAATCAAGCTGAAACCCTCAACTGGTTGGCTAACGCCATGAAGGAATTTGGATTTGCTGGGTAAGTTTCTTACTTTCCATTATTGGAGGTGTATCCATTTACCAATAACAATATCAAAGCATTCAGTGTCCTATGATAATATATTCTAATTCACAAAATCATTGCGGTAACACAAGTCTGCAGGTCTAATGCTTTATAACTTGTTATAAATATGTATGATAATGTACATGTTTATCGCTGCAGCATCAATGTGAAGGGTTTCATTAACAACGTAAAGACGGCGTTGGGAGCGACCAACCCTGCGGTGCGGACAGCAGCCATCACCCTCCTAGGAGTCATGTACCTCTACATGGGAGCACCTCTACGCATGTTCTTCGAGGATGAGAAACCTGCCCTGCTGAAACAGATAGACGATGAGTTTGAAAAGGTAAGAAAAACGTGTATCTAATAAGTATAGTATGTATACAATATGTATTTGTATGTTCTAATGAATGGCCTCTGACTCTCTTTTTGAAATTGCTAGCTAGGGGTTGATTTCAACTGCTATCTGTTCGGTCTACATAAGATTGTCAAGAAGGCATATAAGAAATGTATATACTGTATGGACATGTATATATTTTCAATGTGACTGATGCGATTGCTGCGTCAGATGCAAGGCCAGTCTCCTCCGACTGCGTTCAGAGGAGCCAAGAAAGGAGGAGCAGAGGAGGATGGAGAGGAGGCAGACGAGCAGGAGGAGGATGGAGGAGGAGGAGCACCTGACATCATGGATCTGCTACCTAGAACTGACATTAGGTTTGACTTTACACTCATACCCTTTTCACACTACCTTGTCTGCACTGTTCCATATTTTCAACAACTAGGATGGATGTGTAATCAGGCAAGCTCATTACTGCTTGGATTGGTTTGGCTCTGTTCAGCTCAGTAGTGTGAAAAACCTTATACTTCTTTGACTATTTTGATTGACGGTTCCATTCTATGTTTAATGGTTTGGCCATTCCACCTCATTAATCCACTCATTCTTTCATCTCCTGTGCAGTGATAAGATCACACAAGACATGGTGGATAAGATAGGTGACAAGAACTGGAAGATTCGTAAGGAGGGTCTGGATGAGGTGGCAGCCGTCATCTCTGAGGCCAAGTTTATCCAGGCCAGCATAGGAGAGCTACCCGTGGCACTGAAGGGACGCCTCAACGACTCCAACAAGATCCTGGTAAGAGGTTGAAGAGCTAGCTGTCTGTTTTTTGTTTTCAGTATCAAATTGACGAAGAGGTCTTCGAACTTGTTGCAGGCACTCTTTAGTATGTTAAGTCTAAGCTATATTTTATTCTGTCTCATAGTAGAATATTATATGACATTATAGCTTTTTCTTATACCAAAGTATATTTCCTCTCTCCAGGTCCAGCAAACCCTGACCATTCTTCAGCAGATGGCCGTAGCGATTGGCCCAGCTCTGAAGCAACATGTCAAGAACCTGGGTATGCCCATCATCACTGTACTGGGAGACAGCAAGGTAAAGCCTATCGTACTCTGAGATACATGCACAAAGGCATAGGTAGCTATTATGGTTAGTGTGATAGAGAATATTATACTGTACGCATAGTACATACACATAATGAGCATAACTAATCTAGTACAAGTGATTGACTGAGTGACTGTTTTGGTTGTTCTCAGTATCAGTTGTCAGTCGGTATTGTATTGAGTGAATAATGGTGTGGATTCTGTGTATCCCCCTCTCCCCTGTAGACCAACGTGCGTGCTGCTGCCATGACAACCCTGCAGGCCTGGGTAGAACAGACCGGCATGAAGGACTGGCTGGAGGGAGAGGACCTGTCTGAAGAGCTCAAGAGAGAGAACCCCTTCCTTAGGCAGGAGGTACAAACACAGCCCTTCAGGTCATCTCTTAAAACCTCTCTTAAAGCCTGCCTCTTGTAGCTGGCAGTAATATGTGATCAGGATGTGGTTAGGTGCTGGTATCATGGGTATTGTGTGGAATCTGAGCACAAGGTTGAAACGTTGGGGGCATCTGGAATGGGAATCATAATACCTCCAACCATGTTTGATGGCCATGTACGCTTATAATCTCTACCTGACACAGCCAGAAGAGGACTGGCCACCCCTCAGAGCCTGGCTCCTCTCTAGGTTTCTTCCTAGGTTCCTGCCTTTCTAGGGAGTTTTTCCTAGCCACCGTGCTTCTACATCTGTATTGCTTGCTGTTTGTGGGTTTTAGGCTTGTGACATCTGCTCATCTATAAAGGGCTTTATAAATACATTTGATTGATTGAGAATGACCCATATAACACGCCCCTCCCCTCCCCTCTCCAGGTGCTGGGCTGGCTGGCAGAGAAGCTCCCCACCATGCGTACAGTGCCCTCTGACCTGATGCTGTGTGTGCCCTACCTGTACTCCTGTCTGGAGGACCGCAACGGAGACGTGAGGAAGAAGGCCCAGGATGCCCTGCCCACCTTTATGATGCATTTGGGCTACGAGAAGATGTTAAAGGCCACTGGCAAACTCAAGGTACGCTCTGTCATGGAGGAGATGACTTGGACAGGCTAAATTTCAAGATATAAAAGATGCCTTTGCCTCAATCCAGTCTGAGTTACTAATTGATAGTGGATTGAAAGAAAGTGAAACAGAGCTGTATTCAGTCTGGATTTCCAGGCTAGAGTACATTGTCTTACGTCCGGTTCATGGCTACACATTCGTGTTAGAAAGACTCAATAAGTCGGAAGACAATGGGCTATGGTATTGTTGTTCTGTAGTGACTGTGTCCCACTCTCCCTGCAGCCCGCCTCGAAGGAGCCTGTGTCTGCCCTGCTGGAGAAGGCACGGGCAGTGATGCCAGCCAAGCCTGCTCCACCTCCTGGCAAAGCTGCCGCAGCCAAGTCTATCAGCGGCGGTGCCCCTGCTGCAAAGTCAGGTTGGCTTGCTTCTCAGTTACTTTCTGAATGAAGTATGATCAAATCAAATTGTATCTGTCACATGCGCTGAATACAACAGGTGTAGACCTTACCGTGAAATGCTTACTTGCAAGCCCTTAACCAACAATGCAGTTCACGAAATAGAGTTAAGAAAATATTTACTAAATAAACTGAAGTAAAAAAAAAAAAAAAACACAATAAAATAACAATAACGAGGCTATATACAGAGGGTATTGGTACCGAGTCAATGTGCGGGGGTACAGGTTAGTCGAGGTAATTTGTACATGTAGGTAGGGGTAAAGTGACTATGCATAGATAATAAACAGCGAGTAGCAGCAGTGTAAAAACAAAGGGGGTAGGGAGGTGGGGGGGGGGGGGGGGCATTTGATTAATTGTTCAGCAGTCTTATGGCTTGGGGGTAGAAGCTGTTAAGAAGCCTTTTGGACCTGGACTTGGCGCTCCGGTACCGCTTGCCATGCGTTAGCAGAGAGAACAGTCTATGACTTGGGTGGCTGGAGTCTTTGACAATTTTTAGGGCCTTCCTCTGACACCGCCTGGTATAGAGGTCCTGGATGGCAGGAAGCTTGGCCCAAGTGATGTACTGGGCCGTACGCACTACCCTCTGTAGCGCCTTACGGTCGGATGCCGAGCAGTTGCCATACCAGGCGGTGATGCAACTGGTCAGGATGCTCTCGATGGTGCAGCTGTAGAACTATGAGTGTGCAGAACACTGTGTGCATCCCAAATGGCACCCTATTCCCTATTTAATGCATTACTTTTGACCAGGGTCAATAGGGCTCTAGTCAAAGGTACCGCACTATTTAGGGAATAGTGTGCCATTTGGGACACACAAAAGTATCCTCTACCACCAGTATGCTCCTTTCATGTGGCTATATCAGCAAAGTAGCGTCAGCCATTGAGTTTGAAGAGGGGGATCTATCTTTTTCAATTTTCTTATCTTGGGCAAGCAAACATTTCTCTAGCTCCCTTGGACAGGTAGCTTGTGTTGTAACATGTAGACTTTGACTGTAAATCTATATAAAAGTGTCTTCTATAATAGAGTATTATTTATATAAGCCGTGTTCATCCCAGAACTTCCTAACCACTCTGTTGTTGGTGTTGTGCAGCTTTGTCTAAAGCTAAACCTAAAGCTGTTATCGATGACTATGATGATGACGACGAGCCTGAGCATGAGACTAAGACTAAGAAAGTGGTTAAGGCTGGAGCTGCTAAAAAGGTATGCATTTATTAATCTTACAATTTTCATTGTTTATTTGTCTGGGACCGTGTACAATTAAAACATACATTTGATGCGTTTTTCCAGATATACAGTGCCTTCAGAAAGTATTCATACCCCTTGACTTGTTCCACATTTTCTTGTTACAGCCTGAATTCAAAATAGATTAAACTGATTTTTTTTCTCACCCGTATACACACAGTACCCCATAATGACAAAGTGAAAACATGTTTTTAGAAATGTCATCAATTGTGTTGAAAAGGAAATAAAGAAATATCTAATTTATGTAAGTATTCACACCCCTGAGTCAGTACTTTGTAGAAGCACCTTTGGCAGCGATTACAGCTGTGAGTCTTTCTGGTTAAGTCTCTAAGAGCTTTCCACACTTGGATTGTGCAACATTGGCAACATTTTTTGCAGTATTACTTTAGTGCCTTGTTGCAAACAGAATGCATGTTTTGGAATATTTGTATTCTGTACAGGCTTCCTTTTCACTCTGTCAATTAGGTTGGTATTGTGGAGTAACTACAATGCTATTAATCCATCCTCCGTTTTCTCCTATCACAGCCATTACAAATATCTGTAACTGTTTTAAAGTCACCATTGGCCTCATGGTGAAATCCCTGAGTGGTTTCCTTCCTCTCCGGCAACAGAGTTAGGAAGGACGCCAGTATCTTTGTAGTGTAATTAATAACTTCACCATGCTCAAAGGGATATTCAATGTCTGGTTTTCTATTTTAACCCATCTAACAATAGGTGCCCTTCTTTGCGAGGCATTGGAAAACCTCCCTGGTCTTTGTGGTTGAATCTGTTTGAAATTCACTGCTCGACTGAGGGACCTTCCAGATAATTGTGTGTGGGGTACAGAGACGAGGCAGTCATTCAAAAACACTATTATTGCACACAGTGAGTCCATGCAACTTATTATGTGACTTTTTAAGCACGTTTACTCCTGAACTTATTTAGGTTTGCCATAACAAAGGGGTTGAATACTTGTTGACTGAGGCAAAATGTGGAAAAAGTCAAGGGGTGTGAATGCTTTCTGAAGGCTCTGTAGCTAGACTGATAATGCTTGTCTCCAGTCCCTGGGAATCTTGCCACTGTCATTTAAAATCTAAATCGGTACAATCTCATTCAGCTCTTGGCACACCAAGATCCTACAATGTGCCAGCTTTTCTCTCTGTGAACTGGATATTTCATTCTGCATTTAATAGAACGCCCCCCAGGAATCTGTTGCGAGCTCGGATAAAGATAGTGTCAGTAGTCCTAAAAGACTTACAAAGGGGAAGCGTAGCAGCCAGCAGGTACATGGTTGGAGTCAAGCACCACTGTTACTAATATGTGACTCAGGAATGACTAACTGGGTGGACTGAGCCTTGCACCAGGTGTTAAGGCACTGCACGTGTGTCTGTTTCTAAAACTATGTGGGTGAATTTTTTGTGTGCATGTTTTGTGGGTATTAAAACACACCCACACACTGTGTGAGGCTGAACACAATATCTAAATGTTTTATGTTTTGCTTTTATATTTAGCGTTATCTTGTAATGGTAATAATAATTGGTCTAGCTTTTCATATACAGGCTGCAATCAGAGAGTTATTTACATTATAAACATACAATGTTTCTCTGCTGTCTTTTAAACCTTTTCTTTCTGTCTTTGTCTGACCACGCTATAAACGAGTTTTACAACTTTTGTATGTAGCTTTATATCTTGTTGTTATGTTTCTGAACGGTCTTTTAAACCTCCCTGTTTCTCTACCACATATTCTGAGCACAATGCATAATAACCCTTTTATCTCTAGCTTTTAAATACAGGTAATTGCCAAAATAATGGAAAGACTTGAGTAAATGAAAGCAGGTGCTTCCACACAGGTGTGGTTCCTGAGTTAATTAAGCAATTAACATCCCATCGTGCTTAACATCCCATCGTGCTTAAATGACATGTATAAAAATGCTGGGCAGCCCATTATTTTGGCTACCATGGCTATGGCCCCATAGGATGACAATGCCCCATCCACAGGGCACGAGTTGTCACTGAATAATTTGATGAGCATGAAAACGATGTAAACCATATGCCATGGCCGTCTCAGTCACCAGATCTCAACCCAATTGAACACTTATGGAATATTCTGGAGCGGTGTCTGAGACAGCATTTTCCACCACCATCAACAAAACACCAAATTATGGAATTTATTTTGGAAGAATGGTGTTGCATCCCTCCAATAGAGTTCCAGATACTTATAGAGTCTATGCCAAGGTGCATTGAAGCTTTTCTGTCTCTTGGTGGCCCAACCCCCTATTAAGACACTTTGTGTTGTTGTTTCCTTTATTTTGGCAGTTACCTGTAGCTTTGTATCTTGTAATGATGTTGTTTCTGTGCTTTCTATGTTGTTCTGATAATGTCTCTGCGCTGTCTTGTAAACCTCCTCATTTCTCCCCGTCCCGTCTTCAGGGTGTGCTTGGGAAGAAGGCCCCGGTCACTAAGGCCACTGCCAAGGATGAGGAGGACAGGTCAGGTGTTATCTTTATGCTGGTGCCCAACGGCAAGGAACAGAGGATAAAGGAGGAGAAAGGGCTGAAGGTAATATAGATTATAGTAATAATATATGCCATTTAGCAGACGCCTTTATCCATAGTCTTAATCATGCATGCATTTAATTTATGGGTGGTCCCGGGAATCAAACCTATATCCTGGCGTGGCAAGCTCCATGCTCTACTAACTGAGCTACAGAGAAGTGACGTCACCTTTTTAGCTATTCAGTTTTATCACCTTGTAGCTTTTCACTTTGATAAAGGAGTGGGTGAGGTGTCTCTGTTGTCTGTGGAGGCTGTGCCGTGTTGAAGGAAAAGGTTGATCAAAAGGACAGTATTGAAATGAGTCATGTCATGTGTTTCATCTGCTCCCTGACAGTTTGTGTGGCATTTTGGATGCCCAGGATAAGACTGTTTGCTGAGCAAGAAATAATTATTTATTTTATCCTTTATTTAACCTGGCGAGTCAGTTAACCCGAGTCAATTTGCATGAAATCAAATTGGCATAATAAAAACACCTTTTGTTTCGTCAACAATTATTCTTTTTGGGATACCTGAAGGGGTCCTAAAATTAGAAATGCAATATCTAAATGATCCTTGGTATGACCATCTTAAAACAATTCGATATGTTAGCTTAGTAGAAATCCCCCCCCCCCCCCCCCCCCCCGTAATGTGAGTAAATAATGCTGAATAATCACTTGTGATGCAGGTGTTGAAATGGAATTTCCAGACCCCTCGAGATGAGTATGTGGACCAGTTGAAAACTCAGATGTCTACCTGCTTCGCCAGGTGGCTCCAGGACGAACTCTTCCACGCTTCTGACTTCCAACGCCAGGTGAAGGCTATTGGGGTCATGGGAGAGGTAAGATCCCCACAGGAGACAGCAAAACACATGTATGATTAGATAGAGCCCTTGGTGAGTCTCTTTCTTTTTTATTTATACAGGTTTGTGTTATTGAGATGATCTCTTTTGCAATAAAAACCTATACTCTGAAGAGTGAAAATAATTATAATATCAAATCTTATTTTTAGTTTATTTTAGAAAAAGAAGTACCCTGTTTCTTCAGTTTTGCCTTTTGCCTCCAGCACTTTCTCAAATCAGCTAATGGTGTGTGGTAGAGTCTGACTATTACCTACAAGTTTATTTTAGAATAAAACCATTAGTGTTTTTTTTAAACCTAAGGGAGTTTTTTTACTTGACTGACTACAATGTTATTTTTACACTGTCTAGCGTATGGAGGATGAGCTTGAGGGCACAGTCAGCTGCTTGGACCTGATCCTGAAGTGGTTCACGCTGCGTTTCTTTGAGACCAACAGCACTGTGCTGATGAAAGTTCTGGAGTACCTCAAGCTGCTCTTCCCCATGCTGAGCAGAGAGAACTACCACCTTAACGAATACGAGGCTTCCTCCTTCATCCCCTACCTCATCCTCAAAGTAAGTCACCTCCATCCACTATCTCATTCCAAAATCATGGGCATTAATATGGAGTTGGTTCCTCCTTTGCTGCTATAACAGTCTCTGCGCTTCTGGGAAGGCTTTCCACTAGATGTTGGAACATTGCTGCGGGGACTTGCTTCCATTCAGCCACAAGAGCATTAGTGAGGTCTGGCATTGATGTTGGGTGATTAGGCCTGGCTCGCAGTCGGCGTTCCAATTTATCCCAAAGGTGTTCGATGGGGTTGAGGTCAGGGCTCTGCACAGGCAAGTCAAGTTCTTCCACACTGATCTTGAAAACAATCTCTGTACCTCGCTTTGTGCATGGGGGCATTGTCATGCTAAAACAGGAACTTCCCCAAACTGTTGCCACAAAGTTGGAAGTACAGAATCGTCTAGAATGTCATTGTATGCTGTAGCTTTAAGATTTCCCTTCACTGGAACTAGGGGGCCTAGCACAAACCATGAAAAACAGCCCCAGACCATTATTCCTCCTCGACCAAACTTTACAGTTGGCACTATGCACCAAACCCAGGTTCGTCCATCGGACTGCCAGATGGTGAAGCGTGATTCATCACTCCAGAGAACGCGTTTCCACTGCTCCATTGTCCAATGGCGGCAAGCTTTACACCACTCCAGCCAACACTTGGCATTGCGCATGGTGATCTTAGACTTGTGTGCGGATGCTCGGCCATGGAAACCCATTTCATGAAGCTCCCGACGAACAGTTCTTGTGCTGGTGTTGCTTCTGGAGGTGGTTTGGAACTCTGTAGTGAATGTTGCAACCGAGGACAGGCTAATAGTTTTATGTTATTATGCGCTAGGTGCTTCAGCACTCGGCATTCCAGTTCTGTGAGCTTGTGTGGCCTACCACTTCGCTGCTGAGCCGTTGTTGCTCCTAGACGTTTCCACTTCACAATAACAGCACTTACAGTTGACCGGGGCAGCTCTAGCAGGGCAGAAATTTTACAAACTGACTTGTTGGAAAGGTGGCATCCTATGACGGTGCCACGTTGAAAGTCACTGAGTTCTTCAGTAAGGCCATTCTAATGCCAATGTTTGTCTATAGAGATTGCATGGCTGTGTGCTGGATTTTATACACCTGTCAGCAACGGGTGTGGCTGAAATAGCCGAATCGACTAATTTGAAGGGGTGTCCACATACTTTTGTGTATATATAGTGTAAGTCACCTCCATCCCCAACCTCATCCTCAAACTATGTCACCTTATCCTTCATCCCCTACCTCATCCTCAAAGTCACCTCTACCTCCACCCAGACCAGGGTTCAAATTTATATCTGAAGTCTTTCAAATACTTGGCACTCCAGGGAGACTCAAGCAAATGTTCAAAGTATTACAATTATTTCAGATACTATTTGAACCTAGGTCTGGGACCAACACACTCTCCATGTGGTGTGGTCTCTGTTTATAGAAAGCTGTGTGACATCCTTTTTTCACCTGACAGGTTGGGGAATCGAAGGATGTGGTGCGTAAAGATGTGCGTGCCATCTTCACCATGCTTTGTAAGGTCTACCCCGCCAGCAAAGTCTTCCCTTTTCTCATGGATGGGACCAAGTCCAAGAACTCCAAACAAAGAGCTGGTAAGACCAAGTGGGCTAAGGCTAGAATAAAGGAGGAGATAATACAATTCATTGCATTGTCAAATCTTATATTCATTGTAGTAATAATAATACATGGGACTTATAAAGCGCTTTTCAAGGACCCAAAGTCGCTTAAAGGGGAAGTTTACCCAAAGGGGAAGTTTATCCCAAAATCCAGAAACTCCCAAGTAATTCCATACATTGAAACTAGTTCTGTGGAGTTTGCCCTCTCCCCTTCTCTCTCTCTTGAGTGCAGAACTGCGACGTCTGCAAAAACGGGTCACGTGACATGTGATGTTACTGGATGCAGGCCTCACTCTGCTCCGTTGTCAGTGAATGCGTGATTCACAAATTCATAAGTAAGCGTAATGCCGAATTTGCTATTTTTGTCAAAAGTACCATCGGTTTTGATTTAAAATGTATACTTTTCCACCTAAAATATTTGTGAGTATTTTATATCATTATTTTATGTAGCAGACTGTCACAGCAGCGGAGATGGGTAACAACTGCGCATGCTACGTAGAAATGTCACAATATGCCCTTATATGGAGCTTGATGTCACAGATTCAAGTTCGTTTCGGGGGGTAGAAGTAGTGAGGATACAATTTTTTATTTTTTTTACAACCAAGAACATGTCTGACGAAAGACTCGCGAGTGAGGAGGAAGAGTAGCCTACTGGAGGGGCGTCGATGTTGTCAAACCTTATTTATTTGAGTCAGAGTAGCCACTGTTTTAGAAACCGAGGCCGCAGCAGCAGCTGGACAAGAGCCCCAGCCCAGGATCAACACAGACTGGTGGTGGAGTTGTGGCAATTGCGCTCCAATGCCGACCAATGAGGAAGGTTTGTGCTGCAGAGAATTCAAATATGTGACTAGAATTCTTACAGACGTGGAGGAACTTATTAATGATGAGGAGCAGTTAGTTTGCTTTTGCGACCACAGGGATTTTGCTGCCCACGAAAACTGGTGTCCTGGACAAAAATTCTGTAATTTCAAAAAGGAATTGGAGAGACAACCCTGTTCCAGCTGCGCCAAATGGACAGTTATCCAAACGAGGAAGTAGCTAAACTTTACTTTATTGAGTGAACGCTTATCATAAACCTCTGAACAGGACCGTTAGTGGGTTTATGGTTTCACATTATCCTATGTTTGTTTATTTATTTATTCATATATATATATATATATATATATATATATATATATATATACTGCAATGTAAGGTGACACAATGTCTATTGTCTCCTCAACCCCCCTTGTCATAAATACATAGGGCACATATGCTAACCTGTATTGCACCTAGGCCTATATGTCTCCATGATATGGTGCAACGGTAATAAGAACACCTTGAACTTCAAGGATCAGGTTAGGCTACATACTGTACCTCCGTATGCTTCCTTTGTCGCTTTCTCTTCTGAAACGCACTGCGCCAGATCCTGTCCATGGAAATACAGTAGCAACAGTTGTATCTTTTGGTATCCTTTGGTTTTCTGACCCCGTAATTTCAGATTGCATATCTCGTTCATATGCATTGACATCAAGCTCCATATAAGGGCGTATGAGCAGGGTTTCCCCCACGAGGGCGCTCATGCGCAGTTGTCACCCATTTCTGCTGCTGTGACAGTCTGCTACATAAAATAATCACAAATGTTTTAGGTGGAAAAGTACACTTTTCCTGACTCAAAATTAGCTAATTCGGCCGTACGCTTTCAATAACACAATGAATTTGACCACAGATGGCGCATTTGTGAATCATGTATTCACTGACAACGGAGCAGAGTGAGGCCTGCATCCAGCAACGTCACGAGGCACATGACCCATTTTTGCAGCTGTCTCAGTTCTGCAATCCATGGAGGGGGAGAGGGCGACCTCCACTGAACTAGTTTCAATGTATGGAATCACTTGGGAGTTTCTAGATTTTGGGTAAACTTCTCCTTTAAGGGTAGGCCTTGTCAAAGAGGTGGGGCTTTAGGAGGGACTGAAAGTGGGTGATGGACTCAGAGTCATGGACGGCTGGAGGGAGGGCGTTCCAGAGCCTAAGAGCAACCCTGGAGAAGGCCCTGGAGCTTGGACCTGGGGATGACAAGGTGGCCTGCTGTGGTGGAACGAGTGCGCGTATGGGTTGGTAGGGGAGAAGGTCTGAGAGGTAAGGGTGGTGAAGGGCTTTGTAGGTCAGAAGCAGGATCTTGTAATCAATGTGTTGGGAACCAGTGGAGTTCAAGGAGGACAAGGGTGATGTGCTGCTAGGACTTAGTGTGGGTGAGGAGTCGGGCTGCAGTTTTGAACCATTTGGAGCTTCTGGAGGGAGCTTGAGTTGATGCCTGAGAGTAGTGAGTTGCAGTAGTCAAGATGGGAGGAGATTAATGCATGTATGTGGGTTTCAGCGGGAGGACGGGAGGACCTGACTTTGGCAATGTTGCGAGGTGGAAGAGGATTTGACAGTCTGTCTTTTGTGGTGGTCAAAGGAGTGGGTGGAATCCAGGATGACCCCAAGGTTGCTTGCATTGAGGGAGGAAGAGACAGTTGTCGTCAATGGTGAGAGTAAAGTTGCGAGCTTTGGTGAGGGTGGATTTGGTACCTATGAGGAGTTCCATTTTATCACTTGAGCTTGAGGAAGTTTTGTTGCATCCATGTTTTTATTGCAGAGGCGGGATTCAATGTGGGTTGAGGAGGGATTTGGTGCTGAGGTAGATCTGGGTATCATCGGCATAGCAGTGGAAGTCGAGGTTGAAGTGACTGAGGATCTAACCAAGGGGGAAGGATGTAGATGATGAGTAAGGGACCCAGTACAGAGTCCTGGGGGACACCCTGTGTAACTGCAGCTGAGTTTGAGGTGTGGCCATTGAGGCAGATGTAGTGTAGTGGGTCCGGTTTGTGAGGTATAAGTGTAGCCAGGAGAGTGCGGTGCCCTCAACACCCAGACCCTCATGCCTGGTGAGGAGGATCTGATGGCTCACTGTGTCAAAAGCGGCACTCACGTCGAGGAGAATCAGGATGTAGAGGGAACCAGCATCAGCGGAGGTGAGGAGGTCATTGATAACTTTAGGAGTGCAGATTCAGTAGTGTGGAGGGGCGGAAACCAGACTGGAGGGGATTGAATATGTTGTGGGTTTGTAATTGGGAGGCAACAGTCCGTTCCTTGACAAGGAAATGGGGTGGAAGTTATTGAGAAGGGTGGTGTCCAGTCTTGGCTTTTTTAAGATGGTGGGGACTGTTCCGTTGACGTTGTGTGTGATATATGGACAGAGAGCATGCAGGCAGGCTTTGATGAGAACAGTGGGGAGAGGATCCAGGGAGCAAGTTGTAGTCTTGGATGACATTACTTTTGAGATGTATGGAGAGTCAATGGGGGGTGAATTCAGAGAGCCGGGTCTCAGCAGTGGCGGTTGACGGGGAGGGGCGGCTGAGGGAGATTGATCAGTCAGTGATGAGTTTATTTTAGTGAACTTGTCTTTGAAAAACTGAAGGAAGGAGTTGCGGAGTTCAGTGGAGGGAGTAGAGAAGGTGTCGTTACGGTGTTGAAGTCATTTGCTGACAGGGGGAACAGAGTCCGGGAGTTCTTATTGGAGCTGTTGATGATGTTGGAGAAGTAGGCGGACCTGGCAGCACTGAGGGCATCTCTGGAGGCGGAGGTTGTAGGCCTCAGCGTGGACAGTGAGCCCAGACTTCCTGCTCAGGCGCTCCAGGCGGCAGCCAGCTTGCTTCAGGGCGTGGAGCTCAGGGATAAATAAGGGGAGGAGAAGGGAACAGGTTTAGTTTGGAGGGGGGCCAGATAGCTGAGAGAAACTGAGCAGTGTTGAATTGGGCAGCTAGCTCATAAGGTGAGTTGGGGGGCGTGGTCAAGGGGCAGGTCAGAGCACATGGCATCAGAGCGTTGGAGGGGGTCAACAGCTTTGATGTTGCGGAAGGAGATGAGGCGTTTGTCAGTGTTGTGGGGTGAGTATGAGGGAAGAGGGACATTTAAGGATCTTGTGGTCAGACTGTAGGAACAGGGAAGGGGAAATATTAGTTAGGTTGACGCCAAAAGAGCAGACGAGATGTGTATGTGTCCCTTGATGTGAGTGGGAAAATTGACATGTTGGGTAATATTGAAACAGAACAGCAATGAAATCCGAGACAAGTTTTGATTTTGAGTCCATGTGAATATTCATATCGCCAAGCAACAGTAACAGGGGGAGAGTAAGAACCTTCAGGCCTTCTGTTGAGTGTAAACTTCCTGTGCTTCAATATCCTTATTTGTATCTCCTCGTTGTGGCACGAACCAACCATTCTCTCCCTGTATTCCCCTAGAATGTCTTGAGGAGCTAGGCTGTCTGATAGAGAACTATGGGATGAACGTCTGTCAGCCAACACCAGCCAAATCCCTGAAAGAGATCGCTGTTCACATCGGAGACAGGGACAATTCAGTACGCAATGCTGCCCTCAACACAGTGGTGGCTGTGTACAATGTCTGTGGGGACCAAGTCTACAAACTCATTGGCAATGTAAGATACTCCTACTACTACAATGTACTGTAATATAAACTGCAATAGAGGGTATGTCACAAAGCAGGATCAATGAGTTAGCCAGCAAACTAGCATAAATGTTCAGAAATGAATACATTTAAGTCCTGTGTAGCTCAGTTGGTAGAGCATGGTGCTTGCAACGCCAGGGTTGTGGGTTCGATTCCCACGGGGGGGCCAGTATGAAAACTGTATGCACTCACTTAACTGTAAGTCGCTCTGGATAAGAGCGTCTGCTAAATGACTAAAATGTCAATTTTAAAAGATATGCTTGAAATGGCCATGGACTGTTTCAACCAACAACCCATAGTCAACTTTCACTTTATTAATGAACCAGGAAATGTGAATGTTTATTCAAGTTGGCTAACGTAGTATCCTGCTATGGACTATACGCCTCTGGAGATGTCATCTCCGGTGTTTATCTCAAACATCCTTTGTCTGTCTTTTGCAGCTGTCTGAGAAGGAGATGAGTATGTTAGAGGAGAGGGTCAAGCGCTCGGCTAAGAAGACCCCAGCAGCAGCCCCACCACCCACCAGACAGACTGCAGAGAGAGAGAGGCCCCAGAGAGAACACCCCTCCAACCCCAATGCTACCTTCATGAGGAAGCCTGCTCAGCCACCTCAGGAGGAAGTGCCCAACAAGCTCAAGTATGGGATTGGTCAAATCCCTGACCTAGTGCCTCCTCAACTACCTACCAAAGCATGGCTCTCTATTCTAACAGATCTATGGTGTTTTTACTTTAGTCTGGTGATCTAGTAGTTACAAGTGCCACTGTACTTTACTCACATTCATGGCAAAGAAATTCTGTCCATGCCTTAAGACCTTACCTACAAACCCTCGTAAGGATAAACCCTTTATGTTCCTCCTCAATGTCAGTCTTTTACTCTTTTCACACTGATGTGATGAGCCGAACCGTGCTGAGCTCTACTGCACTGACCTGGTTACGCATCCATCATACATACCGGAACAATGCTTGAACAACAATGTGAAAGAAAAAATATCTGAGCCAGCACAGTATAGATTAAAAAATCTTACTTTTTCGCCAGAGGGAAATTTGTTTGCACGGTTTGGGTTGGCACGATGGTGTGAAAAGAGTATTTGTGTATTCTTTCCTTCTCAATTTTCTAACCTCTGTTGGTTTCATTGCATGGTGTGCGGTCTGTTAATGCTGAGCCTCTCTTATCCTTTATAATTGCTCTTCTCTTATCGCTGCTCTGCTCTCCATGGACAGAATAATGTATCGCACTTATAGGATGTGAGTACCGCCGTGCCTCTCCCAGACAGTGTGCACTCTGCTCTCCTCCAGAAGCACTCAGGATGGGGATGTGATGTAGATTAATCTAAACGTAACACTCACCAGTCTAAACTAAGTAGTTCAGTTTATGTCTCCTCCCCCCTAGGGCTGTTGCGGTGACCGTATTACCGCCACACCGGCAGTCACGAGTCAAGAAGGCAGTACATTTCCACGTGACTGTTTAGTCACGGTAATTAGGCTTCTCCAAGCTCTAATGCTGTTGATGGTCATTTGTAGCCTACCAAATGTGCTAACTGCCTGGTACTCAGCACTCTATTGTCCCTCTAATCAAACACTTAATGACAGCCCATGAGCTCATGTTGCGCAACATTTCTATAGGCTATGCAGTTGCGTGAGAAAACAGAGTGATGGCCTCTATTAAAAAGAGGATCCCATCAGCTTTCTATAGGCTAGGCCTACTATATTTATTTCTCAACTTTCCTAATATTAAACACATTGCTTATCTTTACAACAGGAGTATAGCCTATCTGGCTGGCATGAAAATGAACCACAGGAAAAGCGTCCTCCTTTCGCTATTTAAGTGTATAGATTACATGTATTTTTTCCCGCTGCCCCTGTTTCAAGACAGGTGCATGATGATGGTCCGTTCTAAATCAAAACGAATTTCACACATATATTATTTAGTATACGTAAAGACAAGATTAAATCGAGAATAGTCTGATGGGTGACAAGATTAGCTTATCATGTGAATTATATATTGTCACTTGTGAATGATGCCCAGCTTAAGGCAAATCATAGTCGCACACCACATGTAGCCTAGCCGCACACCACATGTAGCCTAGCCACACACCACATGTAGCCTAGCCACACACCACATGTAGCCTAGCCCATGGGCCTATATGTTTTGATAAGGTTTGTTTCAAAATCCACTTTACAACGGGTGTAGAGCCTAACTGGCATACATATTGTATGCAGCGCGTGAGTTTCAAGTTTGGGGAAGATCATTTTCACCATAAAAATGCACCTTTTTATAATAAAAGCATTACATGCATAATCTCATTTGTGGTCACTTTTGATAAATGGTGTTTTCCCGCTAATGGAACATTCACGCTTATAACCTACTGCCGTGTGCGCATTGCTGCGCTTATAATGTGAAGAAATAGCCTAATTGCGTCAGCCTCATTGTGTTAAAAGTTTTTTTGATGCTAGTGGTTGTATTAATTTGGGATCTATCACATCCCACAACTGTCCCAGACTATGGTTGGAATATTTATTTCTCGCACAGAATAGAATAGGTCGACTTTTCAAATCGTTTGGAGAAAATATCCTTTCTATTTTATTCAGCTTTGTTCAATTGTATTCTTCATACTATAAAATAATGCCACGGAATTATAAGCAAATCTTGTCTGCTAAATGAACTAGTGTAGCCCACAGCCATATGGCATAGCCAGATCACAACCTAACATAAGGACAACTCAGAGTATGCTATTCTGTTCTTCTGAAATAGACTACATTTTCTTCATATCATGTTTCTTTGACCTGTCTAAAATAAATAATGGATTTATTGTGAAGATGTAGGCTATATTACATGGATTTATTAGACTTTTTTTAAATGTAGATGTTCCAAAGGTCTGCATCAGCGGCTTGTAGGCTATGCATGGCAGCCAGGAGATGCAAAATGTGTTTGTTAATTAATGGTCAATTACCGTGAGACCGGCAGTTATTTGCTTGACAATCACCGGCTGACTAAATTTCATGACCGCCACAGCCCTATCCCCCCGCCACAGCCCTACTCCCCCTCCTCGTCGTCGTCCAGTGTTAATGGCAACCTTCCAGTGTCCATACTAGAAAACCACTTAGAGTGAAGCAATGTATTACTCAGCCATTCTAAGTAGTATTCTGGTGCGGGTATATTGGAACAGAGATAATGTGTGCCTACCTGTCTGTCTGTGTTGGTTTCGATGACATGGTTCTGAATGATCCTCTTCTGTCCTCCCCACAGCCAAGCGCGGGCTCAGAACGCTATACGGGAACACTCGCACCCGTCCATCCCCAAGGAGTTTCAGCTGGATCTGGACATGATTGAGAACGACCACACACGGGTCAGTGAGCTGCCCGACCTGGTCCAACACAAACTGGACGAACTGCTGGAGCCCATCATGATGCCAGAGCCCAAGTGAGTGTCTGTCTGACCTGACCCAAACTTTATACCAAACTTTCCCAAGTCTTAGACCAACGCTGCCTGGCTGGCCTGAACTTCCATTTCAGTCTTTTTTACATTAGTTCTGAAATAGCAGAGTGATGAATAGTTGAGTGATGAACTACACTTTTAACATGTGGATACACAACTAACCTGTCCAAGCATTATACCAACACTGGCTGGGAGGGATGTGCATTGATCTACTGTAGAACCGTTTTGAATTTCTAAAATCCAAGAGACTTGTGATGGTCGTGGCATCACAAGACTAACGACAGTGAGTGGTTATGTAATTAGTTGTGTGTGTGTGTGTGTGTGTTTCCCCAGGATCCGCTCTCTCTCGCCCCACTTTGATGATCTTCACAACAGCACCGCTTCCACCATCAACTTTGTCATTTCCCAGGTGGCCAGTGGAGACATCAACACCAGCATACAGGCTCTGGCACAGGTTGGTACATCACTGTAGTATAGGCTGAAAAAGAGGTTAGGGAACATCAAGCCTCGATTTCCGTCTTCCAATAGTCGAGTGAAGGGGACTTGGAAGTCTGGAAATGGGAGACTAGGGAACATCGAACTCCGACCTATCTAACTACAGTACTCTGCTCTAGTTAGAGAAGAGGGCAAGCAGTGGACAGTGTCTCTCTGCGTATTAACCTCTGTATCCCCTTCCCCCAAGATTGATGAGGTGTTGAGGCAGGAGGACAAGGCGGTGGCCATGTCAGGTCACATCGACCAGTTCCTCATCGCCACCTTCATGCAGCTGCGTCCTCATTTACAACACACACATGGCCGACGACCGCCTCGACAAGAAGGACATCTTCAAGCTCTACAGCTGCATCATCGGCAACATGCTCTCAGTGAGTAGTGACTACACATTCACACCACTAGGGGGGGCGATACTGGTCTGTTTGAAAGAGTTGGCTCAATCTCTACATTTACATTTACATTTTAGTCATTTAGCAGATGCTCTTATCCAGAGCGACTTACAGTTAGTGAGTGCATACATTTTCTTTCATACTTGGACATTCAGACCACAATCTCACCACACTGTCATAACCATAACGTCATCAGGCTATGTCACTATGGTGAGGTAACAGCGTGACGGTGGTGACTCAGAGAGGTCGTGAAGGTGATGACGTACCGGGATCTGTCCTTTGCCAATGATGCGGTCGGTGCTGTCTCCGTCCTCTTTGTTCTGCTTGGTCTTGTTGTAGCTCTTCTCATAACACAGCAGCCTCCAGGTCTATCTCAAACTCCTCGTTCCAAGAGGTTTTGTTTTAACATCTAAAACCAGAATATTTTCACAGTGTATCAAGGTGGAGATCTCTTTCTAGAGTAACATTAAAAGAGACAGTTGTTGTATTTTTTTGTATTTTTGATTTGACCAAACTCTTTTTAGCCAAGCACACCGGAGTATGCTTAGTAGACCGTTGTGGACATCTGTAACACTGACAGGTGTGTGTGTGTCTCCTGTGTACTGTAGTTGTTCTCTATGGAGAGCCTGGCGCGAGAGGCGTCTATGGGGGTTCTAAAGGACCTGATGCACGGTCTGATCACGCTGATGCTGGATGCCCGGGTGGAGGACATCGAGGACGGACAGCAGCTCATCCGCTCCGTCAACCTGCTGGTGGTCAGAGTACTGGAGAAGTCTGACCAGACCAACATCCTCAGGTCAGAACTTTGACTTTATTACATTTAGTTTTACGGGGACAGTGCACATGAATCAACATTACTGTAAATGCCTTGTCCTGAGAAATGTTAGCAATGATGGCTCATGTACTTCAGAGAACCTCTCTAAGCACAGAGCAGGAGAATGCACCCTGGCTAAGGATGATGGAGATTAAGACATTTCCAGAATACTGTATATAGTATCTCTTTTTCTCTCCTCCCAGTGCTCTTCTAGTGCTGCTACATGACAGCCTTACCACCTCATCAGGGTCTCCCATGTTCTCTGAACTGGTCATGAAGGTATCACTATTTCATTTGTTATGGGAGTGTTTACTTTTATCTGTGCATGATATGTATGGTGTTTGCACATGAGCTAGTCAGATGTGTATTCCCTGTTCTTTGGGATATTTTACCTTTTTTAGCTAAAAAAATTTAAAAGATTACCTATTTCCAATCCAAATCATTATAAATAATTATTTTGAGGCTCAATTAACAATTTAAATGTAATATATTTAACCCCCTGGTTCTCTCTCTCTCTAGTGCCTGTGGCGTATGATCCGGTTCCTGCCAGAGACCATCAACAGCATCAACCTGGACCGCATCCTGTTGGATGTCCACAACTTCATGAAGGTGTTCCCCAAGGAGAAACTGAAGCAGCTGAAGTCTGACGTGCCCCACAGGACTCTCAAGACCCTGCTGCACACACTGTGTAAACTCACTGGAGCCAAAGTACGTACTATACATACCCAAACCTCATTCACATCCAATAATATATATAATAATATAATATGCCATTTAGCAGACGCTTTTATCCAAAGCGACTTACAGTCATTCGTGCATAATTTTTTTTTTTTTTGGTGTGTGTATGGGTGGTCGTATTTTATGTACGCAGATGAATTTCCCCTTGAGGGAGAATAAAGTTCTATTGAATTGAACCACCTTACCATTATTTATGGGGTACTATTCAGTGGTGCTTATTTGTCCGGAGATGCTGTCTATTTTCTGTGGTTTTGATTAAGGAGACCATAGTGAGGCCGTTGTTGTTTTGACCATGTTTCTTTGCTGTGTCTAGATCCTGGACCACATGTCCATGATAGAGAACAGGAATGATTCTGAGCTGGAGGCCCACCTGAGACGAGTGGTCAAACACTCTGGAAACTTCTCTGGCATGAAGTCTGACCGGGGCACAGAGAAAGGACAGGTACGTTCAGTTAATCCAACCTCTAATCACTTGATTCATTTAACATCGTTCAAGTGAATACACTGCTTTTAAAATAGTTGTGGATAACACAAGGTTTTTACAACATGTCTGCAGTGCAACATGAGTCCACTTCCATAATAGCATAATGTATCCTTACTTCTTCCAGGATGACAAGATGTCTAAAGCTAAAGTGAGTGACATCCTCTCTGAGATCTTCAAGAAGATTGGCTCCAAGGAAAACACAAAAGAGGTGATTATTTTCTTTGTTTCCTTGGTCGTTCATGTATTCATACCTTCATTTTATGATTTGCACCCTCTTGTTAAGGTCGTAATTGTAAAAGATAGTGTTAATTTACAGTACCAATCCAGAATTGTGAGTGAGTTAACTGTTTGTTGTGTCCCCAGGGCCTGACTGAGCTATATGAGTATAAACAGAATTACTCAGACACTGACCTGGAGCCCTTCCTGAGGAACACGTCTCAGTTCTTCCAGAGCTACGTGGAGAGAGGCCTCCGCATGATCGAGTCTGAGAGAGAGGGCAAAGGCAGGATCCAGACTTGTAGCACAGGTACTAACCCTGCAAGATTTAAAGAGGAATTCCACTCAATAGTTTAAATGTGAAGTTGTGTTATTTGCCTTGTAATATTTGATCTGATATGACTGTCTACTATGTGTCTAACCCAGAGATTTTGTCATAATCTGTAGCAGAGTAATAGGGAATGCAATCCTGATATCAGCTCTGGTACTTTGGTATAAGCAGTGTTAGTATTGTTTGAATGACTATTGAGGTTTACTAGTTGCAATCTACTGTATGTACAGTGCATTGGGAAAGTATTCAGACACCTTCCCTTTTTCCACATTTTGTTACATTACAGCCTTATTCTAAAATGGATTAAATAAAAAAAATTCCTCATCAATCTACAGACAATACGCCATAATGACAAAGCGAAAACAGGTTTTTAGAAATGTTTGCACATTTATTAAAAATAAAAAACAGATATATACATAAGTATTCAGACCCTTTGCTATGACACTCAAAATTGGGCTCAGGTGCATCCTGTTTCCATTGATCATCCTTGATGTTTCTACAACTTGATTGGTGTCCACCTGTGGTAAATTCAATTGATTGGACAGGATTTGGAAAGGCACACACCTGTCTATACAGTGAGGGAAAAAAGTATTTGATCCCCTGCTGATTTTGTAAGTTTGCCCACTGACAAAGAAATGATCAGTCTATAATTTTAATGGTAGGTTTATTTGAACAGTGAGAGACAGAATAACAACAAACAAATCCAGAAAAACGCATGTCAAAAATGTTATAAATTGATTTGCATTTTAATGAGGGAAATAAGTATTTGACCCCCTCTCAATAAGAAAGATTTCTGGCACCCAGGTGTCTTTTATACAGGTAACGAGCTGAGATTAGGAGCACACTCTTAAAGGGAGTGCTCCTAATCTCAGTTTGTTACCTGTATAAAAGACACCTGTCCACAGAAGCAATCAATCAATCAGATTCCAAACTCTCCACCATGGCCAAGACCAAAGAGCTCTCCAAGGATGTCAGGGACAAGATTGTAGACCTACACAAGGCTGGAATGGGCTACAAGACCATCGCCAAGCAGCTTGGTGAGAAGGTGACAACAGTTGGTGCGATTATTCGCAAATGGAAAAACCACAAAATAACTGTAAATCTCCCTCGGCCTGGGGCTCCATGCAAGATCTCACCTCGTGGAGTTGCAATGATCATGAGAACGGTGAGGAATCAGCCCAGAACCACACAGGAGGATCTTGTCAATGATCTCAAGGCAGCTGGGACCATAGTCACCAAGAAAACAATTGGTAACACACTACGCTGTGAAGGACTGAAATCCTGCTGCGCCCGCAAGGTCCCCCTGCTCAAGAAAGCACATATACAGGCCTGTCTGAAATTTGCCAATGAACATCTGAATGATTCAGAGGAGAACTGAGGGAAAGTGTTGTGGTCAGATGAGACCAAAATTGAGCTCTTTGGCATCAACTCAACTCGCCGTGTTTGGAGGAGGAGGAATGCTGCCTATGACCCCAAGAACACCATCCCCACCGTCAAACATGGAGGTGGAAACATTATGCTTTGGGGGTGTTTTTCTGCTAAGGGGACAGGACAACTTCACCGCATCAAAGGGACGATGGACGGGGCCATGTACCGTCAAATCTTGGGTGAGAACCTCCTTCCCTCAGCCAGGGCATTGAAAATGGGTCGTGGATGGGTATTCCAGCATGACAATGACCCAAAACACACGGCCAAGGCAACAAAGGAGTGGCTCAAGAAGAAGCACATTATTGTCCTGGAGTGGCCTAGCCAGTCTCCAGACCTTAATCCCATAGAAAATCTGTGGAAGGAGCTGAAGGTTCGAGTTGCCAAACGTCAGCCTCGAAACCTTAATGACTTGGAGAAAATCTGCAAAGAGGAGTGGGACAAAATCCCTCATGAGATGTGTGCAAACCTGGTGGCCAACTACAAGAAATGTCTGACCTCTGTGATTGCAAACAAGGGTTTTGCCACCAAGTACTAAGTCATGTTTTGCAGAGGGGTCAAATACTTATTTCCCTCATTAAAATGCAAATCAATTTATAACATTTTTGACATGCGTTTTTCTGGATTTTGTTGTTATTCTGTCTCGCACTGTTTCAAATTAACCTACCATTAAAATTATAGACTGATCATGTCTTTGTCAGTGGGCAAACGTACAAAATCAGAAGGGGATCAAATCCTTTTTTCCCTCACTGTATAAGGTCCCACAGTTGACAGCGCATGTCAGAGCAAAAACCAAGCCATGAGGTCGAAGACATGATTTTGTCGAGGCACAGAGCTGGGGAAGGGCACCAAAAAATGTCTGCAGCATTGAAGGTCCCCAAGAACACAGTGGCCTCCATCATTCTTAAATGGAAGAAGTTTGGACCACCAAGACTCTTCCTAGAGCAATTGGGGGAGAAGGTCCTTGGTCAGGGAGGTGACCAAGAACCCGATGGTCACTCTGACAGAGCTCCAGTTCCTCTGTAGAGATGGGAGAACCTTCCAGAAGGACAACCATCTCTGCAGCACTCCACCAATCAGGCTTTTATGGTAGAGTGGCCAGACAGAAGCCACTCCTCAGTAAAAGGCAGATGACAGCCCGCTTGGAGTTTGCCAAAAGGCACCTAAAGACTCTCAGACCATGAGAAACAAGATTATCTGGTCTGATAACCAAGATTGAACTCTTTGGCCTGTATGCCAAGCGTCACGTCTGGAGGAAACATGGCACCATCCCTATCGTGAAGCATGGCAGCATCATGCTGTGGGGATGTTTTTCAGCGGCAGGGACTGGGAGACTAGTCAGGATCGAGGGAAAGATGAACGGCGCAAAGTACAGAGAGGTCCTTGATGAAAACCTTCTCCAGAGCACTCAGGACCTCAGACTGGGGCGAAGGTTTACCTTCCAACAGGACAACGACTCTAAGCACACAGCCAAGACAACGCAGGAGTGGCTTCGGGACAAGTCTCTGAATGTCCTTGAGTGGCCCAGCCAGAGCCCGGACTTGAACCCGATCGGACATCTCTGGAGAGACCTGAAAATAGCTGTGCAGCGACAATCCCCATCCAACCTGACAGAGCTTGAGGTTCTGCAGAGAAGAATGGGAGAAACTCCCCAAATACAGATGTGCCAAGCTTGTAACGTCATACCCAAGAAGATTTGAGACTGTAATCGCTGCCAAAGGTGCTTCAACAAAGTACTGATTAAAGGGTCTGAATACTTATGTAAATGTGATGTTTTTTATTTTTAATACATTTGCAAAAAATTCTAAAAACCTGTTTTTGCTTTGTCATTATGGGGTATTATGTGTAGATTGATGAGGGGAAAATGAATTAATTAATTTTAGAATAAGGCTGTAACGTAACAAATGTTGAAAAAGTCAAGGGGTCTTAATACTTTGCAAATGCATTCATTGATATTACTGTAAATGCATGTGCTGGACTGGTTGAAAAGCACTTCAGTTGCTGTGAAGAGTTCTGTTGAAGTTAAATGTTTCTCTCTTACAGTGATTCCCCAACATGGCCTAGACTCTGGCTCAGTGCCTCTGAACGGAGAGGAGATGAAACCTGCAGTGTACTACGAGAGACTGAAGATACTGAGACAGAGACAGGGACTGGAGAACAACTCCAGGGTTAGTTTAATATTGATCACATTGATGCCACTTGGCTTACAATTTCACATTCATATTATGATGTTGATGTAGAATTTGACTACTTGCTGTATTGATGAGTGTCCCCATCATATTATAGCTAGTGTCACACCCACAGTGATGTAGCATTGTTTCTTGGCTAGCTTACTTTAAATTCGAAAACTGATCACCTGTTCTTTCCCCCCCCCCTTCCTCTCCTTTCCCCTCCCTCATTTTCTCTTCTCTCCCGTCTCCCTTCTCCATCTTAATAGCAGGCTCAGCTGTTGCCGCAGGAGGAGGGGGACAGTGGACAGACGCGTCCCATGACGTCCCTGCTGTCCAAGCCCTCGGTGGCCTCCTCCACAGACATGCTCCAAAGCAAACTGTCTCAGCTCAAAGAGTCCCGCGAGTCCCACTTCCAGCAGGAGCAGTCCCACTCCCACAGCCCCACACGCTGCTCGTCCCCCTCCGCCAACCTCGACGACCTCAAGAAGAGGCTGGAACGGATAAAGAGCAACCGCCAATAAACAACCCCTGACCGCCAACCCCATCTCTATACCCAGTCTATCCAATGTGTTAGCCAGCCCCCACCCTCGACCCCGATACCCACCAAGCCTTGGCTTTACCAACACCCTGCTCTTTTCCTGGCCTTCTTTTTCAGGGCAACCCCCTCTGTGTATAAATTTGAAAAAAAGCACCCGTCTCATTGTACAATATACTGTAAGTGGACTATTTTTTTGTTGAGTATCGTGGCACTATTGTCTGTATATACTCATGGATGCTAACCACTCAGTGCTTTTTAAGTGTCAAGTTAGGGTTATAGTGTACAGTTTCCATGTGCAGAATGCTGTAATATGTGTAACTTAATCTAGCCTTTTTTTTGTTGTTGAAGGATTTAGAATTCCATGGTCAAACCATAACATTTCTCTTCTGTGCAGGGTTGGGGTCAATTCCATTTTAATTGTCATTTCAAGAAGTAAAGTGAAATTCCAATTTTTCCTCATAGAGAAGCATTTAGGAAAATCTGAGTAGGAATTGGAATGTCAGTTTACTTCTGGAATTGACCCCAACCCTGTTTCCAGGCCCTGTCAGTTCATACCACTGTTAGCTAAACTTGCTATTTTGCTTTTCCATCTATGAAGTTAAAACTCATCAAACTTGAAGGATTGATTCTGTTCTCGAAGTAAAGGAAGGAGCATGGCATGAAGTAATTGTTTTGTAAATAAGGTTTGCATTACTAAAATATGCTTATTAAATCATTGGTTTAATAACGCTCCCATCTTGCATATTGTAGCAGAATGTTGCTAATTCTGATGCATTGTTTTTGTATTTAACTCAAATGGAAGTAGTCTTACATTTTTGCTCTTATTGGTTTTAAGTGTATAATCTATTGTGAAAATGGCAATAAAGTAAGTTTTTTTTATTTTAACAAACTACCTATGTGGGTATGTTTTGCATTTTATTCTTGCTCTATTGAACACATCACTGCAACACATGTTGAGTGATCAACATTTCATGACATTTATATTAAGGCATTTCAGAACTTCAGCTCTTAGGTTCATCATAAGTTAAAAGTTACAATAAAGGCAAATATACATTAATTTAAAATCGGAGGTAGTGTCTCAAGATAGTGCCAAAAGGGGACAGACATCATCTGACAAGCTATTTTTCTATTCCATACAATATTCTAAAATCCGACATCTCAAAGGCCAATGGGTAATGGAAGATGTGGCATACACGTGCTGGAAAACATTGTGATCAAATTGAACATGTAATGGCAATATATCAAACTTTCCACAGATATTTCTGTATTCAAATCTTTAATTAAGCCATCCATATTTGGTAATTCTTTACCTAAAGAATGTCAAACATTTTCACTATAGATTCAACAATAAAACAGACAGCCTCCTCCTCTGCTCATAGTATGACTACATGCAAGGGGAGAAGGGTGCTGTGATATAAAAATAAGTGCAACCATACAGTACATTTAAAATCTTTCATAGCAACAAACAATTAACAAATACAATCATGACATGATTTCTGATTCTGTTATAGGCACATGCAACATTTAAAAAGTTGTATACATTGCTTCTACAAAAGGCAGTGTCAGTAAAGAACAGGAGACGAAATACATTTGAGGTTGATTGGTTAATAGTAGCCACAGTTTTTCTGTTTGGATGTGCTTATCAGTTCATTAAAGCAGCTGACATGGAACGTTTAAACATAAAAAATACGTCCTTAGTTTGCTTATAGGCAATTTCTCTCTGTTCCCTTTTCTAATGCAGTATGCAAAATGTTGAAAACATCCAGCATGTGGAAGACTGAAGAGGTACAGTGCCTTGCAAAAGTATTCATCCCCCTTGGTGTTTTTCCTATTTTGTTGCATTACAACCTGTAATTTAAATTGATTTTAATTTGGATTTCATGTAATGGACATACACAAAATAGTCCAAATTGGTGAAGTGAAATGGAAAAAAATAACTTGTTTCAAAAAATTCTAAAAAATAAATAACGGAAAAGTGGTGCGTGCATATGTATTCACCCCCTTTGCCTTGAACCCCCTAAATAAGATCTGGTGCAACCAATTACCTTCAGAAGTCACATAATTAGTTCAATAAAGTCCACATGTGTGCAATCTAAGTGTCACATGATCTCAGTATATATACACCTGTTCTGAAAGGCCCCAGAGTCTGCAACACCACTAAGCAAGCGGCACCATGAAGAACAAAGAGCTCTCCAAACAGGTCAGGGACAAAGTTGTGGAGAAGTACAGATCCCTTTAAGAGTGTGCTCCTAATCTCAGCTCGTTACCTGTATAAAAGACACCTGGAAGCCAGAAATCTTTCTGATTGAGAGGGGGTCTAATACTTATTTCCCTCATTAAAATGCAAATCAATTTCTAACATTTTTGACATGCGTTTTTCTGGATTTTTGTGTTGTTATTCTGTCTCTCACTGTTCAGATAAACCTACCATTAAAATTATAGACTGATCATTTCTTTGTCAGTGGGCAAATGTACAAAATCAGCAGGGGATCAAATACTTTTTTCCCTCACTGTACATATCCAGACACCAAATGGCCTCCTTGCATCCCAATGCCTTTGTTGCCCTGAGAGTTCAACTCACACTCCGGGTGACAGTGGCAAGTGGAGAGCGCACATTCTCCAAGCTCAAACTCATAAAAAACTACCTGCGCTCTACTATGAGTCAAGAGAGACTCAATGGACTCGCCACCATATCAATTGAGCACGAGTTGTCTTACAAAATCAACCTCCAACAAGCAGTGCATGCTTTTGCTGCCAGGAAGGCCAGGCGAGTCAACTTGTCTTTGAATAAAATACTCAATTATCTATCACCTGTTTACTTTGTATTTTTTAGATTTAAATAGACTACATCCTAATCTCGCTCTCTCACTCTCTTTCTCTCTCTTTCTCCCCTTCTCTCTCTCTCTCCTCTCTCTGCCTCTCTCAGATGATTTGATTTCAGGACCATGGACAGCTACCGAGAGAAAACATCGCTGACTGCAGAGGAAAGAGGCCACTCTAGGCGGAGACTAAATAAATAAATGCTGAAACTGATGTTGGACAATCAAACTCCCTATGTAAATAAACAAAATTCGTTAAGGCTGCGTCATTGACATAAAGCTTATTTTACACTGCTCCAGCGAAACGAGGCCCGCCATGCATTTATGAAAGCACTTGTTTCTAAAGCTCAAATGATCTCACTCTTTTTTACAGTTCTACAGGAATATTAAAATATATGTTAAATATGTTATATAATAGTGTTATTTTTATTTTAATTGTAACAATAAACACTAACTGTTCTGACTTCTAGCACCAGAACCTTCTGTTGGAATCCTGAGGCAGACCAAGCATTTCTGGACTTGAAGAACCGATTCACCAACGCCCCGATTCTCTCTCAACCTGACACTTCCCGTCAGTTTGTCGTAGAAGTGGACGCGTCTGATGTGGGGGTTGGCGCCATCCTGTCCCAGCGTAGCTCCACTGACGGTAAACTCCATCCCTGCGCCTTCTACTCTCGTCGGCTTTCGCCTGCGGAGAGAAACTACGATGTGGGTAACCGGGAGCTTCTCGCGGTGAAACTTGCCTTGGAGGAATGGCACCACTGGTTGGAGGGGGCGGAGCAACCGTTTGTTGTCTGGACTGACCACAAGAATCTTGCTTATGTGCAATCGGCTAGACGTCTCAACTCCCGTCAGGCCAGGTGGGCTTTGTTTTCTGGACGATTTAATTTATCCCTGACGTTCCGACCTGGTTCCAAGAACGGCAAGGTGGACGCCTTGTCCCGGATGTTCTCCAAGATGGAGGAGAGTGGGGCCAAGACTGAGACGATTCTTCCCCAGAACTTCGTTGTGGGAGCAGTTACATGGAGGATTGAGGAGGAGGTTATGGCGGCCCTTCGGACGCAGCCCGGTCCCGGTAACGGTCCACCCGGTCGGTTGTTTGTGCCGTTCTGCTGTCCTCCAATGGTCCCACACCAGCAAGATGGCTTGTCACCCTGGCATGGCTCGGACTATGGCGTTACTGCGCAGACGATTTTGGTGGCCTGCCATGGGAGAAGATACCCAGAGGTTTGTTGCTGCCTGTCCAGTTTGTGCGCAGAATAAGAGTACCAATCGGCCCAGCTCTGGGCTTCTTCATCCCCTACCTATTCCCCGGCGACCATGGTCACATCTGGCCCTGGACTTGGGTTGCCCTCTTCTGATGGGAACACAGTCATTCTGACTATTGTGGACAGATTCAGCAAGTTCGCCCACTTTGTTCCCATCTCCAAGCTTCCCTCTGCCACTGAGACGTCCGAGATCCTTGTTAGGGAGGTTTTCAGGGTCCACGGGTTGCCCAGTGACATAGTTTCCGACCGTGGTCCTCAGTTTACCTCTGCTGTCTGGAAGTCCTTCTGGCCATTGGAGCTACAGTCAGTCTCATATCTGGATTTCACCCCAATCTAATGGTCAGGCGGAGAGAGCCAACCAGAAGATGGAGTCCACGCTGCGCTGCCATAATACTCTCCCTACATCTGCCACTGGGATGTCTCCCTTCCAGTGCCTGTACGGCTACCAACCTCCCTTGTTTTCTTCTCAGGAGAGGGATCTCTCGGTTCCCTCTGTCCAGGCCCACATTCGTCGTTGCCACCGGACCTGGCATCGGGCCAGAAAGGCCCTCCTTAGAGTTTCTGACCGGTATCAGCTCCAGGCGAATCGTCGCCGTATTCCAGCCCCCACTTATCAAATCAAATCAAATCAAATGTTATTGGTCACATGCGCCGAATACAACAGGTGCAGACATCACAGTGAAATGCTTACTTACAGCCCTTAACCAACAGTGCATTTATTTTTAACAAAAAAGTAAAAATAAAACAACAACAAAAAAGTGTTGAGAAAAAAAAGAGCAGAAGTAAAATAAAATAACAGTAGGGAGGCTATATATACAGGGGGGTACCGTTGCAGAGTCAATGTGCGGGGGCACCGGCTAGTTGAGGTAATATGTACATGTGGGTAGAGTTAAAGT